AAAATATGTCCTGAAGCTTTGAAACTAGAGATTGGATAGAAATAAAACCGATTAATCTTCCTCGATGTCTCCGGAAAGAATGGTTAGCTCGAAAGCACAAAATAAATATGAAGCAATTTTTCAACGCCTCTTCACTGACTCGTCATTGCTTCATTCTGATTTACGGACAAACAGACTGATTATTTTTTAGTTGTTTTATTCCTTCTTATTAAACTTATTGTTTTTTATTGTATTTATTACAATCAAAGAATAAAGAGAGCAAAAGATATAAAAATTCAATACATTTTTCTTGTTCTTCGTTCCTACAGAAGAGAAATATCGCAGTAACACGAACAGATAAAATGGTCTGTAAAAGATATGGATAAAAACAATCCAAACATCCATCTTATGCAGCCTCGATTTAACGCCATCAAATTTCTTCTCTTCAAAAATTTAAAAGAAGGCGTTTTGAAGTACTCAAAGTAAACTTTTCCAACGAAAAAAACCAAACAGATCAAGTTTTCGCATTGTTTATATATATATATATATATATATATAGTTTTATGTTTTAAAAAGGTCATGAAAAAGTATATCTGTTACAAAAAAAAATTGAGAATAAACCTACGAGACATATTATATTCGAGATATATATACGAGATCTATTATTATATTCTTCAACAGTCCTCCTACATGAGTCGAGAAAACGATAACATTATGTGCCATGAAACAGGAAATTGCAATGCACCGGATGTTACATTCTTGAATCGCAACATTTACAATAATTACCGGCTGCCAAAGCAACAATTCGCACCTCAAGCGCGATTATTAGATTTAACTGCTTCTGTCCATATCAATGTTTATCCTCTGACAGGATAAGGGAAGGACGAGAAAAACGCTTAACAAGCCATATAATCTTTTTCCTAATCGAAGACTATGCATAAATTAATTAAATATTCCATCAAAGACCGTCCATGGAGCGTGAAAGATTCCATTCTTTATCCTGTCGTATCGAAATTCCTCCTAGAGAGTGATATAAAATAAACATCCGGCAAGTAGCTAATACACGATTCGTTTTAATTGATCGCAAATCATTTTAACTGTTCTTAACTGCATGCTAATAGTAGTTCTATCGGTGCAAGTTGATTTGTTTTCTAAACTGTCTGCTTGTGGCAGAACTGTTTTTACTCCAACAGGTAATAATCGTAACCATTGCGCTTAATAACAGTATCATACTTAATGGAGACGGTTTTATTTCCTGTTGTTCGAATGAGGACTATCAGAAGCGCAGGATGTGGGAGATTGATGAGATGTCAACAACTTGTAATAACAGGAGTGCCAACCAATCTAAGATGATTTGTTCTGTTTTGTACAACGGTTGGACACCCTCGTTGAGCTTTTTCTCCTACATGTAATGACGTTAAATTATCGCTGATAACTGTTTATTTAAAGGCGCTAACTGTACAACATACAAACTTGTTGCAATGTGATAAATTAGAATGCAATGTAAAATCGTGCAATCAAAAAACAATAGATTTACATTAGATGATTTTCCAGAAATGGTTATAGAGACAATTTTTGACAAATGTAATGAATCAGTATTGTTTTTATTCCAAGTTCAAATATGGATACCACAATTTGCCAAATTTCGCTTTTGGTGATGCATTTTTACGTTATGCAGTTTAATTATTCAAAAAACTTAGATATCTTGTAAACAGCTTAACATTTAACCTTAAAGTAAGAACTAGTTTGAAAATATCATTTTAGTAAAGTAAATTACTCACTTTTCTAAAAAGTTTCTTTGTGGTTATAATAGTTTTTTTTTGTTTTAATATATCGAGAGATCCAGATAATTTGTGATCGAGTCATTCTTGGATCCAAAAATGTATGTCTGTGAAATGTCAAATAAAATGAAACGTCAAAAGGTAAAATGGCATGATCAATAAGATGATAATTTTAATAACTAAATTTATGATCTACCTTGTACGTCAGCGACTAATTCCAGCCCATTTTGCCTTACCTTTCGATTTGTCATTTTATTTGACGTTTCCTGTGCAGTTAGTTCAATAACAGACATACGTTTTCGGATTCAAGATGACTCGGTTACAAATTATTTTGATCTCTCGATACCTACTATTGCAACGTGTTTTAATTTAACGTAAGCCGAAGATCAAGTGAACGAAAAAAATAAAAGTTTTATCACACATAACTAAAATATAAAACATAAAATTTTAACAAATCAAAAATGAAAATGTAATTGTGAAAATAATTTTCATACAATTGCGTGACCTTAGTCCTTATACAAAAGATATTTTGCTCTGGCTCACTCCATTTAAAAGAATCATGAATATTGGAATTTTCTTGCTCAAACTGTATTTAAATAGAGACCTGTTTACTTCCTCGCCGATTGTAAATAAATATCTGATTTAATGTATCCTAAAATCTTTTTAATTGAGGAAACGATCACCGTTAGCTGCCCGAGACACGTCTATAAAGCACTGATTAGTCCCATTACATCGAACAATAATTTATAATAATCGCGTTTAATGAGGGGTTTTGAAACCATCATCGATGAAAAAATTATTAATAATCGGTTTAAAAATTGTACGTGCTGAAAACGAAATTTATGGGAGATTGCTGAAACAGCAATGAATGAGATAGTATGTGGTTGAAAAATATTTTTTGTAAAATATAATTTTATAGTAAGAGGATCAGGGTAAAAAGTGTGAGACTGTGGCAGGAAATGGTTGCATGGTTGGAAGCTAGCCATAATAAATCTTAATGTTTTATTGGTTAGCTTCAAGCGAAAAATGTTAAGCTCACCTTGATTTCTGTATTAAAGGTTATTGTTTTTTAAAAGTGTGACTATACATTGTAACAGTAGTTCACGATTTGTGTTTTTTCAGTATTCATATTAAAACACCTACAATCATTAACATTAAAAAAATAGTGCATAAAAAATATTTCATTGCATATACAGTTATAGATAATTAAGTAGATCTACCAGTATGCAAATTTTATTGTTTACTTAATTATTACTCAACTACCCACAGTTATGATTAAGAATTGCATTATTAAACAAACTTTTACAGATAATGCATATTTAAAAGAAAAACTTAGGGAACTACGAGTTTCTCAGTTTTAGTTTCTTTAATAACCAACTAGCAACAACTACATAATAGGTATGTACATCATTTTTAAATTTTGAAATAAATCAAGTCTGTTTTATTTGAGGTAATAAACAATTTTTAAATACGAACACGAAAATGTAGTAATTCCAGGAGGTTACTGAGATTTTACAAATTTAGGTAATATTTTAGTTGCTTGTCATCCTTTTCTTGGAAAACAAAATTCCTGTAATAAAGACAACATGTTACTCTGTTTTTGCAGAAATACATGTAATAAAAAAGCAAAAACAGCTATTTACAGTAATTTATGACCTACATTTGCGATTTTCTACTAATTTTCCTATTTTGCATGCTCCACACTAGTACACACAGTTACAAGTTTTACCTTGAACATTTGACTGCTGAAGTACGAGTATGTCTATCTATCCCCTCTTCAAATACTATTTCAAAAAATCTACAATTATTTATGTGCTTTGCTTTACTAACTAAACAGAGTGAAAAATGTTGCAAAGAGTGATAAAAACTGTGAACATAATTAGCAAATAAATTATAACAACACCTCACGAGAAAAATATGAATAGTTTTTAACAGGTATGTTCCCATCATTTTATATAAAACCAAGAGGATCTGTCTGATTCGTCCGATAAAAATCAAACATCTTTATGTTAATTAGACAGAAGTGAAAACAGCATTTTATTGGATGTCTACCAATCAATAATTTATTTATCTATAAACACTTCAAGGTTTATGTTTCTAATTAACAAAATTACCATAATGGGGGAGCCAAATAAAAAAGAATAATTATTTTCAAACTGATCAATTTGCTTTAATAACTTTATTCATAATTTAATGATCTGCAAGCAAATTAAAGCTATCGATTTGAACAGTGGGTTTTGGTAAAACTTATATTCTGTTTGAAATTCACAAATTTTGTAATTAGAATTTAATATTTAATAAACACAACTTTATAACGTTTGAAATGTATTAATTAAACTTTATTCAATTTTCAATCAATGAGTTCTGCAGCTTATCCAGACACAAAATTATGAATATCTAATTTATAGCAATATTAATTAATATTCTAAATAGTATTATAATAACATAAATGGTATTATATTATAGTAGTATACTATTAATTTTATTATAAACGGTTTATATTTTATAATCAATAAATAATTATTTGAATAAGAGGCGATTTCAAAATAAAATCACAATATTAATGGACCAACGCATTCCAAGCAGTATTAAATTTATTGTATTTTTTTTGTTATGAAATTGAATCTAAATGTATAACAAAAATCACAAACCCATAATGTTAATAGAAAAAAGAAAAAATAGTGAAGAAAGGAACAATTAAAATCAAACATTGCAAAATGCTGGACAGAAAGGATGTTCAACTGAGTTCTTCTATTTATGCAACTTCGTTCACATGTTTTTGCCTGTACAAATATGTATGTTCGTATCTAAAATTATACCAGGTGAACCAAACGATTTTTATTTTTTTTTGAAAAAACTAATTGATGAATGATAAAGTAAGTGCTACAAAAAAATCGCATAACTCAAAAACAAAACAAAATTTCGTTTTCAAAATACGATCACATTGTTTATATTACTTTAATTTATTTAATTATTATTTTCTGCAGGCAGATTTAAAAAAACCGCTTGGTTCCATTCTTAATATTCATCTTCTATGTATGTATTTCTATACTCGCCTGTATTTACAATTACTTTAAATAATTCTAAACAAAAATTCTTGACCTTACTGATTAAAACAGACAGAGTTAAATATTTAGCTTGAATGATAATATTTAGTATTTTTAGTACATATTATGTATGTGCAGTGATACTATTTTTATACCACGAGTATACTATATTACAATATATTTATTAACTCACTTTCGCTTCAACTTGGTCCAACTCAATCATTATCCTCCATGAAAAACATCCACGTTCCTTCACACATTTCACACCAAAACACGCACAACACACGCGATTCGCGCGTCAAAGTCGCTTCGTCTTATTCACTTTCCACACTTCGCCATCGGCGGCGTCTCGAGCACTACTGTGACCCCTTCTTCAGGGACCTAACATCACATCTTGGAAACGCCCCCGCTCCTACCCGACCTTGCTTCGTCTAATTCATTGAGTCTCTGGGAGCGTTTGTCTACAAACTGTGAATGGTCGCACCACGTATGTTCTCCACAAGAACGTCACGTAACGAGAAGAAGAATTGAAGAAGACACTCGAGGGATAGATTCCTTCGATTGCTAAAGACTTTTGCATGAAGAAGATGAATTCTCAAAATGATTCCACCTGAACTTGAACAAAAACGAAAATTTCACAAAGTAGGACTACGTAAATATACGCCCTCGCACTTAATCAAGAATTGTGGGTATTAAATTTAAATGTTAAAATACTTAATTGATCGTAAATTACAATAACTGCACCGATAATTTAGCAATTATTAAAATGTTTGACTCTACTTTAAATAATTTTCTAATCACTATTGCTTATATGATGGAAGTAAACCTTAAACTTTGAAATAGGATAACTACAGATACCTAATGTTATTAATTCTCTTAGTGAGCATCTAAATTATAATTGGAAATAAAACGATAATAAAAATGTTTTTGAATTTATTTTCTGATTCAGTCTAGTAAAAAGTGACGTTAAAATTTAAATAAAGAAAACCACAAGAACCAGTGAAACCAAAGAGAATACTCGTAACAGAATTGTGTTATACAAGAAAATAACTATCTAATACAATAATACAGGAATAGAAACCACAATATTTCAATGATATTGATCTATAATAATAGAATGTTGGCAAATCGGTGTAATTTAGAGGCACACAGCGTAAAAAATTTTCTGGTGGCAAATTTCTACAAATTTGATTCGACCAGCGTTCAAGTTCAAGTGAAACAAATCAAAATAGTTATTTGTAATATAAGTGTTAAAAGTGACCAGGTGATAAAATACCAACAAATTATTTTTAACATACTTGCATGCATTTATTGGAGAAGTCGTGCATTTCCAGCATGTTTCATGTTTTTAACAATTTTTTAAACCCAATTTTTAACTTACGGTCTGGTATATGCTATGCTATAGCCTATAACCGGTTTATGATATCGTAATACCTATATTAGGAAATTATGTTCCCCTGTCGTTCTTTCAAGGCTTGTAATTGGCCATTGTTTTGTAAAAGTTCAGCAATGGTTTTGTCGCGTTTTGGTGTCAATTTAATACCTATTTTCTGTTGTCAAAGACGACAAATAAAAACTGTTTCCGATAACAATGTTCCAAAGTCTGCCACTACAGAATATTTCGCACCTGAGACTGTATTTCATCATTGTTGAAACATTAATAGATGGTATAGCAAGTGCTAAATTGTTTTTAATAAAGTTACAACGTGACAATACACTAAACTGACCAAAAAACCTTCACACTATTATCGCCTATTAGCGATTATCGTTGTTCAATCAGCTTTTAAAAGCTTGATAATGCCAAATCTACAAGATGTGCTAATAAATCCAACAAACACTCTCTATCCGTCAAACATTTGCCTTTCTTCCGTGGGAAAAAGTCCACATAACAACACAGAACTCACGAAAAGAAGCAAAAGAATTGAAACGGCCTGAGGCATAGCCGAGATATGAATTTTAATCAGATTTTAAAACTCCGGCTCCTAATAATTTTGTTTGATCAAACTACTTTTAGTCACGCTACTCTCATCTTCACTCGAACAGGGAAAGGCTACGATGAAAAAAAGAACAAGTCTATATGTTGAGGTATTTTTGATCGGTTACTGCTCTTTTTATTTTATGGTATTGTTGAGGGTAATAATAAAGCACCTGCGAGAGCATTCAGGCGAGGATGCACCTGATATTTGATTGTAAAGAAGCATTGGCGGCGACAACGAACGATTTACGACTATATTGCTCTCAATTTCAACGACTTTGAACTACTTTTTTCGAGAATTCTAAATTAAAAGTACACAATGTGTAAGCTGAAACGTGGTGTATTTGTAACACGTGTAACACGTTCCTAAAACAGAAGTATAAAAATCTCGTCTTTGGATCGAATCTAAATTGTCTTCCATTCAAACTTTCGCCATCGCAAGCATCTCGAATTTCCTCTGAAGCGATGCGCTCGTTTTGCTAAAGGTATCTCGCTCATCTCACCCATTACCCATCTATACTCTGTATATTTAACATCCGATACCTCTAAAAGGGGACGAAATTGTAGTCAAACCGGAAGTAAGGCACACACTCGAGACCTGCTGCGTTGTTTCAAGCGTGGGAACTCGTAGCTGGTGCATGCATAAACAACCCGCTTATCTGAATAAGTGGTATATCCTGTAGATTTTTGGGGATTAGGGGTGTGTTAAGGTGTAACGAAATTTAAGCTTGGTGTTAGAAACGAAGTTATGTTTATTATACTTCAGACAACAAATGCGATTTTTCTCTGAATCAAGTCCATCAACATAAAAGGATATTTCGAAAGAATTGTAGAGGGTTTTTACCAAAAAGAAATATAATGATATAACCGCATTTGGTGTGCGAATGCAGCGAAGAGAAAGACGATACGCCTACGAATAACTTAATATGGATAAGGTTTTTGTGGAATTACCATAGGCCCAAATTCTATGAATATCAACACTAAAAAGTGTCCATAATATTTTTAGTTTAGCAGACAAGTTCTTAGTTATACAAAGCGAGTAAAAATGTAGAATCAACTTCTTCAAACTATTTGCTGTAATTTACAAATCATAGTGTTTCGAAAACAAACAAGGAACTGATCGCATTTTACACAAAATATTCAAATTTTTCTGAAAAATTTAGTTCTGCTTTATCTTTTTAAATAAGAGTGGTTTCACTAATTAAATATGTAGCTACCTTGCAACTTACCTGCTGTCTAATTAATGTAACAAGGGCAGACACTTGACTTAACCACATCTTAACATGTGACCCTCACAGAATCAAATGATAATCAGAACTTTGACACGTGTCTGATATTAAGCCTCTCTAAAATAATTAGCACTTGGCTTTCTGAAGGAAAATTATTCTCAGAGATTCAAACAAAAGCACCACCAGGTTTTATAATGTTTGAATTTATCTTCAATAAGTTTCGAATGAGATTAGAGAACAGCTTTTCAGCAATAAACAGGAAAATAATTGTTGAAATACATGACGTTCTTATTTATGTCTTGAGTTTACACATTTTATTTTTATTAAGCCTCGAGGAGAGCTACTTGTGGAAATTCTACCCTTATTTACTTAATCCAACGTGTCGTAACTAGCAGTAACAGAACGCGTTTCTCATTTGTCATAATGAGGACAACGGGATTGTGTGTTTTAGGCGATATTGCAGGTCTTGTATTTTCTTGATGAGGAAACAAAAAAATATTAAATAGTCTTTAAAAAAATATCATAAATTAGAAGAAATGCAGTAAATAAATTTCTATGCAGTAGAGCCAAATTTTGGCTTAGATATGGTTTGGATAATTGTCATAATTTATTTATATTCGTTTCAGTTAGAGCAAAGTTTGGAAACACAGAATTAGTTATTAATGTATAAATCGCATAAAGTTGGCACGAATTAAATTAAACTTTATAAAACATGTTAGGAGTAACCCATGGTGGTTAAAATAGAAAATAAAACAAATACACAAATACGTGTATTTATTTTTTAATAATAAAATTTTACCTTTTACAATGTAGAAAATAAAATAATACTCAAACAGGTAAAATGTGTATGATGTGGACGAAGAAATCTCAAATGCAATAAACTGATAATAGCTGAAAACATAAACATGAAGGAAGCAAGTGTAAAATCCCCACCGGTATACCACTGGTTTTACCCACCTACACACTAACACAGACATCGATTACTCGAAATTCTACTTTCCCGGCGCTTTTCGCAGGACCCTCACCTAAATATTGCACAGCTCTTAAATGATTGTTATCGATTCTGGTCCGAATATAGGCCAAATAAAGATTGCAAAAGCGGGGCCAGGTCAACCAGATAATTCATAAGAGTACGAACAAAATATTTCAGTAAATGTGACGGTTTTGTTTCCAAAAAAATTCAATATGCAGTTAAAAATGTGAAGAAGATGTCTTTAATGTAACAAAATGATGAAAGATGGTATCATGTCTCGTTTAAATTCCGGAGAATGTGGGATGAGGGATTAGGGTGGTTGAAGACGGTGAAAAAGCGGCTTCTTTGTCGGCCTTTTAAAATACGAAAATTGGAAAATATTCGAAGGATATTTTATTATAGATGCTTTTGATTTAAAGAGTGTTACGCAATAGGCTTTTTTGGCAACATTTATTTATATCATTACACAGTTTTCACAACTTTTTTGTGAATTCTAATAAATATATTTCTACAAATTTAAAAAAAATTATAAAACATTAGGTACATTAAAATTATGTAAAATTTAAGAATTTAGAGTCTTAAATTAGTAATACATGAAATCATATATCTAACATAGTTCAGTCTTTCAGCTGTCAAAAAATGAGAACAATTAAAGCAAAAAACGAAACATATTCAGAGACATTTTTTAACTTTGAACATAGCCAGTCCTATGTTGCATGCTCAGTTTAAAAAAGTACAGAGTTAGTAGATTTGGGATATAAAAATTTAAAAATATTTAGGTACATCAGTTTTAGGTATTATTATTGTTTTAGATAATAAACATAAACAAAAATTATACAAATTTGGTTTCTTAAGCAACACATGCAACATGAATGTTGTACAACCAATGATTTCTTGCCGGCTCTAAAACACACCCTGAATTTTTCAAACTGTTTTTAACCGTTTGATGAAATCGGTCAATATCCTGCTCCCACAAAGCGATAAAAGGATAACTACCAGACCTATAATTAATACAGTACGGCACTTTTCCGTTCGACAATAATTTTGAATCACATTCACTTTCATGTCCACTTAATTCCGTTTTCATTTCGTGCCAAATGTCACAATTCCACGGATTTCCGTAAAGGACTAGCGTTTTTTCGTTCAAAGAAACATCGGTTAAATTGAGCGACCTCAAACGATTTAAAGCTAATGAAATTGTCAGTTCTTGTTTGGCGGGAATTTGAAAATGTTGAAGAACAAGAGGACTGTAAATGTTATTGTTACTCAAATCCAACAACTTCAGTTTGTTCATGTTTTTAAAAATATCGTTTGGAATTGTGGTAATTGCGTTGAAGGATACATCAAAAATCACAAGTTGTGTCAGTGAATTAATTTTAGGAATTTCATTAAAACTGTTGTGACTTAAAGTAAGTTCTCTCAGGTTAGGTAAATTTGCAAAAACTTCCTCTTGGATAAGTCGGAATTTGTTCCAGTCTAGATTTAATGATTCCAGGCTTGATGGGAAGCTTCCAATTTCAACATGTGTCAATTTGTTCTTTCTAATCGTAATAATTTTGGTCTGTGACGATTGTGGTAAAGCTCCAGCTTCAATATTTTCCATAAGATTGTCCGATAAGTCTATATTTTCAATATTGTGATAAGTAAAAGCTCCACCTTTGACTGCCTCAATTTGATTATTAACTAAACTAAACTTTTTCACTCCAAACACAGGAAAGTGGTATTCTTCAATATTCTTCATCGAATTTCCATAAAAAGTAACATATTCTAAAGAACTATTTGAGAAAGTACATTCGAAAGCAAATGTTAGTTCTAAATTACTTATTGCATGTACAACATACAAATTTGTCAGTTTGTAATAGTTTTCCAAGTTAAAAACTTTCATTAAATTAACAGAAGACTTCATTGCTTGTGCGTTTTCGGATCCAATCATCAGAATGCTCAAATTTTCTTTGTCGGTGTAATTTTTTAAATCATCGAAACTATCACATATTGTCATGTAAGACTGTTTACACACACTTGTAACTCCTTGAAAACGAAAAATGTTTACAAAAAACAATACCGCGATAGTTATAAACAACATAGTTATGCGATGATCAAGTCTAAACTGGAGGATCGACTGTTACATCAACAAACCGGAATTACCCAATTGGCGATGTATACACGTCTCTAACAAGATTTACACATTTCCATAATAAATAAAAAGAGAATTACTGCTTTATTAAGATTACAACGTCATAGCTAGTCAGTGCCATAAAGTTCATCAAAGATAATACGAAGGTCAAAATTGATATAAACATAATAATTACTCATAATTTTTGTTCATATAGCATGATCATGATTCGAAGTTTTAACATCATATCATTTTTAATGTTAGTGAGTCACCAAGTTAAAAACAACTTTGCATTTATCACTCTAATTAGAAATGTATTGTTACACTTATAATTTTTATTATTAATACACAGTTTTTGAATAAAATGTAAAAAATTAGAGTGCTTTATGCAAGAAATAGGCATAGATTTCAACAATAATCATCAAATAAAATCAAGTGGGCCTTGACATAATAAAAAAATATAATAAATACATAATATCTTTACTGCTTTTTTGATTATCGTCTTGTCTTAAGCTTAACAATAATTGGCCAATACTTTTCATTACGCTTATATCAATACCTGAAAACTGAAAGATAAATTTTAATATTTTCAGTTGCCCTTGCCATTAAGGCCGCTTGAAATTTAATGATATGCAACAAAGTTGGCAATTCCGGTTCCGAGACTCATATTATGTAAATTAAAAGTCTTCTCCCGTTTCTGAATGATAACAAAAATCACATTAGAGCCAAGTTTCAGTTTCTTAGAATTTAATAACTCTGTGTAAATTAAAGACTGTAACGTTATCTTTTTATTTGGGGGGGTCAAATAACATTTTTTGAGAAGCAATTTACTCTTATTGACTTGACCGGATACTTGAGACAAGTCCAAAAGCTCTTTTATTTATCAATGTGCTTGTCGAAGGGATCGGAAAGAAGTCTGCAATTTAATACCACGTCTGGGGGTTTTTTTGATTATAAAAGTTACAGAAGCATCTGATGTTACTCTTCTTTCAACAAGGAATAATGTAAAATTCAATTTTGTATTTCTTAAAACAATTTATAATGAGTTATAAATATTTGCTTTTTGTGTTTGGAACTCTGTTTTGTAAATTTGATAACAAGCTCTTTAACATTTCATATTAAAACAGTGGCAAACTAAAAAGTATTAAAGATAAAAGAGAAATTCATACAATTTAAAAAAAAAAAGTAAAATCAATCCGGCACTAATAAAATGCAACAGCTTCTGTTTAAAAACAGTTTTTTGTAACTTTTGTCGTTGAAAAAGTAAACTTGTATCGATTCTCTGAAAGTCGGGTATATGGCGTGTGTAAGTGCTCCGAATAAATTGTCGAGAAAACCCTTGAAACTTATATAAGACAGGCTGCTAGCAAATCAGGTTGGTTATCGCCTCTTACACCTTCTTCCACGTTTCTGGTCTTCATATTCAATAAATTTTATGTTTTCACTGATTAGGGGGTGTGATCAGGAAGAAAACAAAATAACTACGTTTAATTGCGAAATATTTTTGATTTAGTCACCAAGTCAGCAAATCTTTATCTCTACTTTCCGGCAAATGGAATACCAACGAACAATTCGAGAATCAAATTAAGATTTCTCATTACAGGAATCGCACTTTGGCTCTTTTCGATTTGACATCAAACCATTGAATGGATTTACATTCATTTTACTCCTTTCGTTCCCTTTTCAAACCTGTCTCAAACAAATTTACTTCGTAGATTCCTCGCCCACACACACACACACAAGTTCGAAAATTGCCTTTTTCCATTTAATTATTTAAACCTATTTAACGTAAGAATTTGCCATCTTTAAAATTTTCGATCTATGACAACTCTTGATTTAATTTTGGTAAATGTTTTCATCAATTGATTTTGATTTGACTGCTTTTGCATCACTTCATCAATACCTACTGTAAGAGATATTATTTATAAAATAAATAATATGATTAAAGTTAAAAGAAGGTTTGTAACCACAAAGTTTGCAGCAAATGATAACTTACATGTGTACAGACTTCGAAGTTCTCAAAGGAATCATGAATATTCCAAACTTTTTGATAATTTAGTTAAGAACTGAACATTATACGTATAGAATAAAAATGAGTTATAAGGAAAGCTCTTTTTGTCAATTAGAAAACTCGGAATATTCGATATAAAAGAGCACAATAATTTTTTTACTTAATTTGGATATCAGAAACTTTGTTTTCTCTTGTTTTAAATAATGCAACCAACGATGCAACAGTTGTTTCGAAGTTATAAAACCATTTCTGTATTGATTATTTATTAAATCTTAGTGTTTTCACTAAAAACTTTTCAGGAAAGCGAAAAGCATAGAATCATCATGTAATACAACTGTAACAACTTTACATTTTTGTGAAAACTAATTTTCCTCATGAGAGCTGAAATCAAAACTGTTGAAAAATACCGCGAATGCCTCTACATTACGAAGCCGGTCCCAAACAATAACCGAATCAATATTTCACGTCCGCATCCGAAGACCCTCTTCATGAAACACGACTTCGTACCCACTGAAAACTGAAACGCGCTTGCGTTTCAGCCCTGAACGGTCGCTGATTTTCAGTTGGATCCGAGCCTAGGTCGAGATAGGCAAACCACTGAAACTTGTCATCAGTCGCGGGTTGCCTACTTGCCAACAGTGCTGTGGATTTTCAGTGATTTCAATGATTTGGATTAAGATCTGACGGTCAGTTTAATGTTGTGTAAAACAGTTCGAACCGAGGAAATGGAAGCTGATTACAGGGACGTTTCATTTGCTTTGTTCGAAACTGTACTCTTAATAATCGATACAATCAATTCGAAAATTCTTGATCACGCCGAGAAACGTTCTCAATTTTTTTAATTAAGCGCCGAAAATGTGAAAATGTGAACGAAGAGATAATTCAAATATAAAATGACGTCAGCATCGACAAACCAATTTCGTGATTAAACCACTTTTTTTAAACAGAATAAATTTAATAGTTAGCATTTTACAGGTTTTTGTAACTAAAGGTGTGCGAAATTGTAGTCATTGTTTGACGGATGTTCTGATTTATTGGGCGATAAGTTGGTTTATTTTTGTTTTATGTGGTGGACCCAAAGAGAACATTGACGTTTTAATGGCAAGGAATAAAACTGCTTAAACACCATTAACAATGACACCTGGACCAAAAGTTAGTTTTTTTTATTTTGTTAAATTTTATAAACAATAAGAACTAGATTTTTATGAATTGTGCTGCAATGGTGCAAATTCTTATGTCAACAGATGTATCAAGATAATGGGGCGGGGATAAGTTATTTTTCTTCATTGATTTTTTTTAAATAAAGTTACTACCAAAACAAATTTTTAATTATTTTGACTTAAATAGTGTCTAATTTGTCTAGGACAACCAAGTTATGTACGAGTAAATCTGAAGCTAGCGGTTTGCGTGTGTCTTATCTTTATAATAATCTATTGACATGGAAATGAAAACATAACTTATAGTTAATTGTATTTTCCGGAAAACTAGAATTAAAAAATATCCTCAAAGTAGATTTCATCCTAGCAACTTCGACTGGAACCAAATTTCCTTCTTGGGAAGAAATACGATAAAGCCGTTTTAACTTTTGGGCATAATTACCCTAAATAACTGAATTTAATTTTGAGACAATAAATAATTCTAAAATATTTATTTTTATTTTAACAACTATCAAACTATCACACAACGCTATATTTTTATTAAAAATAACATTTTTGATTTTAAACCTAATTGACTACTTATGCAACAAGTAAATTGTAATTTTTTTCATGTCCTTACTTTTAGAAAAAAACACATTAGATTTGTTTATCCATATAGTAATGTTAATAATATTTTTAACAAAATTCTGAGCAAAATTACGAACGATTATACCACTTTTAATTATTAGGTGCAATTTCCTTTTTTTTTCTTAGTTTTTATTTATTTTCAAGTGTTTATCAAACTTTGAAGTATATATTTTAATTTGTTGATAGCAGAGATACTCAAAAACTTTTAGCTAGGATATTACAATGGCAGTAAATCAGCAAAATTATTTTCATAATGATTAAAATCCATAATCAATAACCTTTAATTTCATTCATGAGCAAACATGTTAGGTGAGTGTTTTTTAATTATTGGAAACAAATAAAATAGTTTTAGAACGTCCAGCTGAAATAAAGTTAAAGGCTCCAACAAATGTACTTTAGAGCTAATGGGATAGTTTTGTAGAAATCGTAATTACAGGCTGGCTTTTTGCGGTAAACAAGACCATTAAAAGGGTCACATCCCCTCTTCCCTCTTTAGTAATTAGGACCGTGGTCTGTCACGGCCAGGTCACAACGCCAAACTTTTAATTAGAAGCTTAACTTTCAGGAAATTGAAGAAAATCTTTGATAGAAATTGAGATTAAAGAAAGGACAAAAATGTCAATCACTTTTCACAAGTCACAACTGAATTTTCCTAAAGCAAAGTCAAGCTGTTCCTAAAGCATTGTTTTTATTGTTCTCAATAACTCCAAATTTAATTTCTTGAAATGAGAAAAAAACAGTTTAATGCTACAACATTTCAACACTTTATTTCATTGAAGACGCATTTCTGTTTTTCAAAGCGAATAATCTGGATCATTCTCTTCGAAACTGAAGCAGATAAATAGGGAAATGATTGACAGCAAGCGAGATCTATTTCATCTCACGCCACTGAAATCGAGCTGAAAAAGCTGTTTTGGCTGGAACGAGATCGAGACGTAACGAAGCATCATTGCATCGAGAATTAAGCTGTGGAACTCCATTTGTACATAAATTATTTTACTGTTGCGATTTAATTGGATGAGAATGCAGAGCTTTGAAGGGTTTAGGGAAGGAATTTGGGACGCAGCTCCATGCTCTTGTGTCGTTTATTGATTTATCTTTTCCTAATCCTGTGTATCTCTCCGTCGGATTAGATTGCTTCGTCTTTGCGAGTTTTTTACGCACCAAGGATTTTTTGTGGTGGCTAGCTTATATTGCAAAAATCCCAGTTTTTCTAACTAGTAGTGAATAATTTTGGAGCTTGCTGAATCATTGTGCTTTCATCAATTTAACCTACAATAGCGAGATGCCAATAATTGAATTTTATTTATCCATGTATTATATACAATATTTACTGTATGAAATTAGAAGCCGAAATAAGAAAGCATGTTGCTCTTTGTTTCGTATTTTAAAGCAACTCATATCGATTTGTGGCTTGTAAATTTTTTACTAAAATAGTGGCAGGTTTCTGTTTGTTTCCTTGTCTCAAATATTTTGGAAATTTGTAACAACAACTCCTAAAGTTGAAAGACTTGGCCCATTTAACATAACAAATTAATTCTGGATTTTGGACAATTATAAATAAGATTTCATATATTATAACCCAAAGACTTGATATTCTTTCTGAGATAAATACATCCAAGTAAGGACATCATGTCTTTGCAATTTAAATGTCATGGTGATTAGCCTAGAGATTCAATTTCGAATATTCAAATAAACATTTGGGAAACATTATTGAATCTATATTGAGTTGGTGTGCAAAATTATTGGACACCCACTGAATGTTATAGACTGATTATAGTGCGGAATGTATACTTATTGAAGGACAGTTAAATTAGAACTGCGTGCTTTATTGAATTCATTAGTATGCAATTTGAGTTTGCCACTAAATATCTGTTGATGTTAATTGAATTGTGGTTATTGTTCAGTGAAAAACGCGTTTAAAAATCTCAATACGATTATTTGTTTTGCCTTTTTTTAAAAAATATAGCTTTAAAACTGCCAAAGGAACTCTTATCACAACCAACCAAATAATGCAGTACGGAATAAAAGAAAAGGAACTTAAATTCACACCTTGAATCTACATATCTAAGAAACATGGATTGTGAAAAAGGTTTGTAGATATTTTTAATAAAATGCGCTAGTTAATTTTCTGAAGAAATACGTATAAGTACCGCTAAAATAAATTATTTGAATTATTGAAAATAAAGTTTGTTTTTTCAAATGTAACTCAAACATTTTCAACTGTAAACTTAGTTTTATACATTGTCCATACCTACTAACAAAACAATCTGTATATTTAATTTAAGCAAAAACATTTATTTTCCCAAACTTAATACTATTTAAACCACTTCTTAGCTTGTGTCCTAGAATAATTGCTGCACAATTCGTGATTCTCGAAACATTTACGTTTATTGCTTGTAATTTAAACATTAGGTACTTTTGCATGTAAATATTACCAAACAATCAAGCATCAATCAACTTGCTCTCGTAAAACACAAAACAAATCTGTGCAGTTTAGTTTTCCCAATATTTACAACAACCTGGGGAAAATTGTTGAAGTCGTCAGTTGTTCAGACGTCATTGCTGAAGATCGATTCGGAATGTAACGATATTTTCAGTTTGTCTGTTTACATTGCGAGAGGGTCGAATTAGAAGCGGGCAATCTGTATTTATAACGGAACATGTTGATTCAATGTAAACATTATCTACGCTTCAAGTACTTGCTATGTTTGTACTAACCTTCGATAAAAATAAATTCAAACGGCTTAATTTTCAGGTAAATAAAGGAACCTGAGGAGTGTTGAAAAAAGAGGTTTTTAGTCGCTGTGAAAAGTTCTTGGTTGATATTGTAAACGTATGTCTTATTTCTCGTAAGACAGTTCAAAGACCAAAAATAAGTTATTTAATAAAAACTTTATTTAATAAAAACTTGGTTGCAGTCGTAGGAAAATTAAATTTACACAATAAAAAAGTTATTTTACGGGTTAATTCATGTCGCAATTCTATTATATTTCTAAACCCGTTCCGATTAAATTCAGGGGTAGTTTTATGCAAGACTTCAATAGAGAATATGCAGCCGACTCCGACTGGTACTCACTTGTGGCTGCGGCTTTTTAATTGCTTCGTTTTCGATGTTTGTTCAAGCTTTAAGCAATTGACATACAATAACGTAACCAACTGGTGCATTAATGGTATTGTTTGAAAACTAAATCGTCATTTTAAAGCTAGTGATTACAAACATAATTCCTATAAAATGAATTTTTAATGATTGTGTAAATCCAGATTAAATCAAAATTGCGTTTTTTTTTTCATTTATGCGTTAAAATGTCATATTAGCAGCTTTATATTTAAGGTAAAATAGAATAAAGCGTTCTGCAAGAAATGTAAGAAATCATCTTTATAAATTTTTCTGTTGGACTGAAACTGTGCTCTGCATATTAAATATCTCATTTGAATTTGTTGTTAAAAGTTTTCGCATTATGGATTCCACTACTATGCAAGGTTTATGTAATTTTCATGATAGAAAAAGTTTGCAACTACTCTACCTCCTACTCGCTAAAAAGACAATTAAAAAAACTCTCCTTGCTAAAACTTTGTTGTTTAAAATATTATTTTGATTTGTATTAATTGTCATTGCTATTATTAGATCAAAACACGAAAAAAAAATAAGTGGCGTTCAAGTACATAAAATAAAATTTATCAAATTTTAACAGATGTCTAAATACGAGTATATGAAAATTCATCTGGCGTATAAAGTACCTAATACTTATCAAAAGTAATTGAAGTTTTGAAAAGTGAAATATCTCGAAAAAAAATATTATCAGTAATTTTTGAAAGATTCTTTTATACTTTCAACTTTCAAGAGTCAATTTGTAAGCACAATACTCATGATTGACTTTCAACAGTCAATTTGTAAGCACAATATTCGTAATTTAAAAAAATAGCATTTTTGCAAGATTGAGAAAATTAGTAATTTTATACTCAAAATCAAACACAATATGTGTAGAAATTTATTGATAAAATTTCTGTTATTTCTTCTAAACTTTTCTTGAAGAGCTTATCGAAAAACAATTTAAAATCTATTATAACTGCTTTTAAATTAATGTTTACCCATTATACAAATTTTTCTTCTTTATGGTTACAATAGAGAAAAACTCCACCTAGCAAAGTGACTACATTATTCTTAATATTTTCAGAACTTCCTCTGTGACATTTATTCTTTTATCATAATTGGTAATCGATAAATATTTATTGCCTCATTTAGGTACATAACTGAATCATTCACTATACTTGTGGCTGCCCATTTATGATGATCGTCATTTTTAAAATTTAAATCATTGGCGTCATTGGTTCAATGACGTATTTTTGTTTTGTTTCACTTATCTTGTAAATCGCTCTTTGACTTGTCTTTTGACAAAGACAATAAAAATAAAAAGATTTGTATTTTACTCTGTAATAATTTCCAATCATTATCTATATTACCACAATAATGGATGTTAAGATATTTGTACAAAAATGGACTTTTTTTGAATATGCTGAACAAAGACAAACAATCATAAACGTGATGAAACTTTTTATTCGTATAACTCGAACTGTTTAGTTATTCTAAACGTGAATTAGTAAAGTTCCTAAATAAGTTCACCAATTTTCTTTCAATCGAGTACAAGTTTGCTAAAGCAAAATAGCCTCGACGTATCGATCAGAGCCGTGTTCATCATTATTGAGAATGTTTCTCGGAGGAATCCTTCCTTTATCCTTCTGAGGCCCATAAATAACAGTTGGATTCATTTCAGCTCGTTGCCTTATTAAACGAACAATAAGCAATCGATTGAAGCGTACCTACACCGTGTAAATACGTGCTAATAACACCAGTGTTGCGATGAAAAGTCGCTGTGGAAGAATCGATAAACGTGGTGCCGAGTTATAACACCTGATCCAGTGCAGTGTTTAGTGTGATTAGTGGTACAATGGGGTGCGAGTTAGGGAAATTGGCATCGAGTGGCGGTTCGGGGAATCACCGGAAACCGGACGAAAGTGCTCCACCTGCCACTGTTGATCCAAGACTACCGCTTACTGCCAAACAGAAATACAACATGCTGGCCTCGTGGAAGGGCATCAGCAGGGCTATGGAATCGACAGGAGTTTGCATGTTCTTAAAGTGAGTATAATTTTTCCCTTTTCACAGCAAAAACTGACTCCATAGACCATATTTTTTTACCTATATAATTAAGTGAATTAAGGGTTATTTATTTATATGTATAATTGCAAGTATACTAATACTACTTTAACTCTTTAATGTATGTGTACATTAGTCCACGTATACTGTGCAAAATTTTATCTACAGCAGCCAAATCTGAGAAAGAATGAATGAAGAATCTTTTTTGGAAAGAATTATAATAAACTTTAATAAGTTTCCAATTAGAAGTAGTGCTGATTTTTGCATATAATAAGTAATCTTAATATAATATAACTCTCCCACTCTATTAGTTGAAATGTTGCGATAAATAAGACTTAAAGCAACAACCGTAATAAAAGAAGAAATTATTTTTTTATTACGAAAGCACGACGATACAGAATTTTTATTTAATTAAATAGAAACATTTCCCTCTATCTACTGCTTCAATTCTTTTAGAAAATACTTGTTAACCTGCATGACAATCTGAATGATATCTCTCAACTCTTCAAAGTTCCCTGGGAAGAATTCCTTAAACCGCAATAACCCTTCAATTCCAGGACAATCCGACGGCTTCACACATGACTCCTTGGCCATCTGTTTCAAATCGTCAAAAATCCCGTAAAAAATTTTAATCATTGAGTTAAAAACGTGTTTCAGTTTAGGGAAAATCAAATCGTAGTTTTTCTCTCGTTTTAGTGCTCCTCGAATAACACATCCAATGTTGCCTTCGCAGGTGTCAAAAAGGTCTTTGTTTGTGAGGGCGACGGTGCCGACGATAGGGCCGAAGAGTCCGGGGATATTTCGTTTTACGTCGTCGATTCGTTTGTTTAGGGCTTTTATGACTAAGATGAGGTCTTTAGTAGGCTTGCTGGGACTAATAAAACGATCCAGTGTGTTTGAAAGAGACGGAACGAGGGCTTTAAGTTCGGGCAAAGGGTTGCGGCGTGGTGGAATAGGGCACTGGGTGTAAGGAACACAAGAATCCGTGTCTTCGTTGTAGAATTGATTCATGGGACATTCGCAGTTTGTAAAGGAAGAAAGGGAGATGCCAGCTCTGGGACATGGGATGCAGACTAAAAATTTTTGTGATATTTAAAAAAAAAATCCAATATTTACTTACAAGCATCGGCATTTTTTTCGAATAAAATAGCAGTTAAAAGTATTGTAATAATTAAATTTTGAAGTAACATTTTTATTTATGTTCTTGTTAACAGGGACTCGATTTGTTAACACGCACTGTTTAATTGGCAAATCAATGCTAATATTTTGTGAAAACGTGTTCAACGTCATTTTACGAGCAATTGTACAATATTAGCTTTCACGCTTATTTTTTATAAATTTAAAGTTACCAATAATTCTTGAGTAGGTAAATAATTTTTCGTTAATCTAAACAGAAGTATAAACATACTTCAAGAAACCTTTCTAAAATAGAATCAAATTTTATTTAAAAATAATACGTTTCATTTTATTTTTCAAAATGTATGTACAAAAAAAATTGTAATTTATCATGATAATACGTAATAGTTATTTATTATACAAGACGATAAAGAAATTGTTTATCTACGAGTGAAAAGGTTAAGTTTACGAGTGACGAAGTTACGAGTGGACTTTTTTCGCGAGTATAATATTATATATTATATAATTTATCGTCGTGTGTAATATTTCGTTTCATTTTGCACTCACCTATCAGAATTTCTTGAATATAAACAATAGATAAGAATTACTTTATTTCACTAGACAATAGAAGACTACTTTATTAACTGAAATTAGTTGATAAAGTATAAAGGGGAGATAAAAATGATTTTATTTCACTAGACGACAAAGGACTACTTTATCTACTGAAGTTAGTTGATAAAAGCACTCTTTAACAATGAGTACAAAATTAAAGTCTTTTAATTGTTTTATGTTTGCAAATAAAAAACCATTGAGTTGCTATTTCTTTAGAATTTTTCTATTTCGGTGTTAGAATAAGTTTATTCCAGCACCCAAATGACGTCATTTGAGTGCTTTAATAAGTCGTTAGCGTTATTTTAATTTTATTGACGGACTTTCTTCACAATTCATTTTCAAATGTGAAAATAAAAATTATTTATATTTTTCACAGCCGCCTTAGCCGCCTAAAATTATTCCACATAAATGTCGCCAACCGTCGCAAAATGCTCTACAATTAATTAATTAATTTTTGTTTTTTAATTTATAAAATGATATAAAGCGCCACAATAGAAAAAATAGTATAAAGCACTTGTTGCAGAAGATACTTTAAGCACTCAATTGTTCCTCAACTCGCCGCTACGCGGCTCGTTTCGGAATTTCAAATTTGTGCTTGAATAAAATACCTTCTGCAACTTGTACTTTAATATACCTACTATTTTCGGTCAGTGTCAGTTAACTTTTATTTTTTGATATAAATAAGAAGAAACATAGTCTTTTAATGAATTGTTAAAAAAAATAGAGACTGTTATTCCGTCCAGTCATGATTATCTAGCTTAAATTGCATTTAAAAACACTCTGTATAATATACAGGCTGTGGCATCTTTATAAAGAATAACATTTTTTTTGCAGTGTCAAAGTGTTGTTTAACTAACATTGTAGCAATAATTAGATGTAGGTATACAGAGTGCAAAAAAAACGTATTTATAGATCATTTAATGCAGATGTGCCTCAAAATATTATTCCTGAAAACTCAGTAGTTAATAACAATTAAGTAGTTATGATTTGCTATAAAATCATTTAATTCTTCAAATTAATGTTACATGTCATCACAAGAAATTAAACACCATAAAATAGTTTTCGAATCACATAGACAATGGGTACGTATATCATATTAATAAATGGAATAAAGAGTAAAAACTCTTCTATATAAATCATAAATACAGCTGATGCAATTCTTAGCAACATTCTTGATATGAATTCAAGCCTCTTCGCATATGAATGTTTGTACCACGGGATAGCTTATATTTAATAAAAAAATAATACAAAATATTAAATAAAATTATAAACAATAATATTGCTTTACCAGTTTTTTTTGATTCCTTAGTTTCGATTTTTTGAGGTTTTGTTTGAGAATTGCTTTTAGTTGTGTTTTTGTTAGATTCACCTATAATAAATTAATTAGCAATTTTTCCCAGGAGTTTAAAATTTAGTCACTGAGTACATTATTGACTTACCTTGAACATTATCAATTAAAATAATTACGATACAAACATACAAAAACCATTGTTTTAATGATAACATTTTGTCAACTTTTTTAAAAAATCGTTTTTCTCTCAAAATATGAAATCAAGGTGCGGCATTCGTCACACATAAAGAACAAATTAAGTACGAAACGTCGTTTACATCTGGAACCAATCGGTCGGATAGCCAATCTCCACGTTTCTATAAAGCGAACTCTGGATGAACTTTAACTAATCCAGATCAAAAAGCCTAAAACCATGCACGTGAAAAAGATTCTAATACCCACAATAATCGCCCTTAGCTTTGTCGGTCTTTGTTATGGTGAGTGATATGATTTGAAATTCGGCCGTTATTGGATTAATTTTAGGCCAAGATGAGCCGGCTCCTGATCCACCATCTAAGGAATCAGAGGAAAGTCCTGTTAACGACGGCGACACTCCTAAACCTGCTCCTGCTCCTGCAGGAGATGGAGATAAAGCCCCACCTAGTGACGGTAAAGGCAAAGAGGTGAAACCGGTCGCGAATGAGTCTTCAAAAGTGGCTTCTCCGATTACGCCCCCGTTGCCACCATCACCGTTTACAGTAATTCTGAAAATCATTCTTCCGGGCTTGGAAATTCCGGCACCATTGGCACCTGTTGCCTTGCTTGCTTTACTCGTGGGGTTTTTTACACCAGAGGTTAATGTCAAAGTTATTTCGTTTCTTCTGGCTGTTCACTTTTGCTCTGATATAGACCGATAGGGTCGGTGATTTGTATTTTATGGGTGAATTTAATGGAATGAAAAGAAATAAACATCAAGAATTATTTTCTTGATCATACATATTTATTGGTTTATTTATAGTACCTATTACAAATTTTAGGAATCTATTCAATTATTTAATGCAGCTCCAATCAAAATTCGTTAAATATATGCAAATTGCTTACAAATAAAAAAGTCGTAATTACAATTTGTTTGTTGTTATTTATTATTGTGCCTAAATATTAAATGAAAATAAAAAAAAAAAAATAAGAAACAAAATATTTATTTCAAACATCAAAATACGTAATAAATTGCTAAATGATTTTGGTATACGATAATATCTGTTATTTATTTCTAAAAAAAAGTATTACGTTAAATTCAACTTTAGGTACCTACATAATTTTTAATGAACATGTGAATCTTTGTATGAAAGACAAGTTGGTGTGTTAGCTAAGGACTCTGTACACTGATATAAAAAAAAAATATGAAAAAATGACAAATCTTTATAGGAGTAGAAAAAGTATTAAGTCATATATGATTCTTTTCTGCACCTTTAAATTTTAATAATTTACTTCTAAAATTATTCCTGTATTTATCTACATTTTGTTTTTTTTATTTTTATGTATTTTGATAAATTATTTTCTATTAAGAAAAATATGCGATAAAATGGTATTAACGACCGCACCTAATTTGCAACAAATCATCCAGTCACATAACTACATTATTCCAATATTTTTATTTTTTGTCTGTTGTGTTTTATTTTTTAAACAATGTAAGTCAAAATTATAAAAAAAAACTACATCAATTATATAAAATTAAAATTTTAGCAAAGTGTAAGATGCATAGGCCTCATTCCCTTGACATCAATATTTTTGAAGAAAAATTCCTCAAATTCAATCAATTCTTAAATGTCGTTCTAATTCTGTTAGAGTCCATCGCACTGCCTGTCCCAATAATAAATCTAATCATTTCTCCTGTTGTTGCTTATCTCAGATATGTAATTTTCGGTACTAAATAAATTTTCACAAATAATTCGCAAAAGTTAATTTGAAATTTCCTCAACTTCTGAATGCTACTTATTACAAACAAATACAATTACAATTTGATTGGCAATTATTTTTTAGCTCAGCTTATCACGAATATAATGTTTCAACAGGTTGTAATAAAGGTGTGCTCACGAGGATAGCAACATTTTAATAATAATTATAACAACAGCAGTGAAAGTGGAAGATTAATATCGGAGTACTTGACGTTTCAAGATTTATTTTTTATTAATGTTTTGATGAATACAAATTTAATTAACTTTGTTGATAAAGTGTGTATAAACTATTCACATTCGACTAAAATTAAAATAATAATAATGATTAAAGTACATTCAGGGTGTTTCATACTTAACTAAAATTGAAATATTTGATAGTGCAGTTGACTGTCTGAACACATTTGTTATTGTTATCATTATCCCTAACGTAGCCACCTTTACAATAACACTTTTTCTCATTTAATGCCATACAAAAGACCACTGCATAATTCTGGCACGTTTGACAATCAAATCCGCCATCTTTTATCTCTTCATTGAAGGGACAAGTCGGTGCTAAATTACGAATTAATTAACCGATTAAAATCCTAATTTCATTACTCACCTGTTTGCACCGCAATTGCAAATGCAATCAGGAAAATTAAATTTTTCACATCCATATTCGAAGAGCGACCACATAATGTTCCAGTCAATTGCTGTCAAGGTTCCAAGCTGCAAAATTACATAATTAATACAACAATATGAATAATGGGACTTCCCAGCGCGAAGAAAATTTAATATTCAAACAAATGAAATTGCAAGACCCGGATTTCAATTAAGTGAGGTTGTTGGTGTTTGCACTGTTGGAAGGTCCTTTTCTTGTAATTAATTTTCGACAACAAATATGTTCAAGTTTTTAATCTCGGGGTTGGAATCAAACTTGGGGTTTAAGCGTGTTTACACTGGGGGGAATTGATATAAACTTTAGTTAGTTATCTCCATCTGTTTGACTTGGATGTTAAATCAAAATATGTTGCTTTAGTCCTTTAGTGGAAAGGAAAATGCAGAGATGATGTTAAATATTTGCTGCAAATGATGTGTTTTATTTGTTTTAAAAAATGTGAGTATAGAGTTTAATAAAAAATACTACTTACCGATACCTACACCTTTTCCCATAATCATAATTTTTTTAAATTTTTATATCTAATACCAAAGATTTAAAAAAAGGATTCCAAAAATAAGTAAAATTTTATGTATTTAAAAGCATAAACAAAAGCAGCGTGAATAAATAAATAATCTAAAACACTTGTAGCTTTTACCTACATTCAATTTTATTTAAGTCTATCAACAATATGTCAATATTAATATCAATTTACTGTTGAAACTTTCATGAGATTAAAGATGTCTCTTAAAAATACTCTCATCAAATTTTAGAAAACTGTTATTTACCGGTAGACATATAGACATAAGTGATAACAAATAACAATAACATTAGAGAAAGACTTTTCTACAACACATTTTTCCTTTCAGCTAAATTGTTTTTGTTATCATGTTATGTCTCAGGATATTCATTCATTGATCCAGACAGAAGAAATTTTACAACATTACACTAACAGTATACCATTAGATATTTATTGTATAGAGATTGAAAAACTAAGTAATTTACTTAAATGAAATTTTTAATCGATAAAATCGAACTAAGTTGCAAATAAAACATGAAGTATTACATTGTTATATCGTTTTTACACATCAAGTGTTTCCCTCTGTTTGATTACAATCAATGTTTAGGTAATTAACTAATGAAGCGATTTTGTATACAGACAAACTAAAATTATGCTTTTATTTGAAAAGTTAAAACACTATATTATTTAAACTCAAAGCTCTTATATGGAGATCCTATAAATATTTTCACCTTCGTAAATTAAATGCAAATTTGGTTAAACAGTAAGGTGTTTATAAAAGAACGAACGTCTATGAAGAGTGGATTTTATGTTTAATGAAATATGAAAACATTTACTATACAGTATGTCCCCGGATTGAGTTTACAAGAGGAAAAAAAAATATTTTTGATTTTACGTCAATACTGCAAATTAAAAAATTTTTGCTTTACCTGAAACGAGCAAACCTGATGTAATTAAAGCTTCATTATTCTAACTCAGTAGTTAATTTTTCTCTTGATTTTGGACTTTTCTCTGCTTTTTTAGTCTTATCACATTGGCAGTTTTATTATTTTGACAATGATGTCACTTTGACAAATGATTTTACGTAAGTTAAATAACAAAAATGTTTTGAAAAACATAATTTTAATAAATAAAAACTCAAACAAACAGCTTTAAGACAAAAACCAAAGTCATTTTTTGCAAGAATTATCATTTTTTAATTAATAAAATAATTGTCAAAGTAACATACAGTTGTCTAATAAATAAAACCGCCAATGTGATAGAACTTAAAAAGCAGAGAAAAATTAAGTCGAAAATAAGGAGAAAAATTAACTTTTCAGAATAATGAAGTTTTAAGTACAGATTTACTCGTTTCAGGTGAAGCAAAAAATGTTTTTCCTTTGCAGTTTTGGCGTAAAATCAAAAAAAAATTTTTTCCTCTTGTAAACTCAACCAAAGGACATACTGTATGCCGGCGGTCCCAGCGAGTTGAAAAAGTCCATTAGTGACCTTCAAATGAAATTTAAAAAAATATATAGGACATTGCTAGATACTAATCTAGTCCATCGCCTAAAATTATTTTCAACTATACAGCGTGTTTCAAAATAAGTTACAATACACACTTGTGTTTTTTAAATGAAACACCTATGTTTTTTAGCGCTTTTGGATGTAAATTTTTATGACAATGTTTTTAAGCTAAAGTTTTCTTGGTCGATTTTGCTTAGTTTAAAAAATAAAACGGTTTTTTTGACGAAAACATGCACTTTTTAATAATTTATTACACAAAAACTAAGACATCTAGAAATATTTTTTACTACCGCAAAGAAGAAGGTAAAAACAATAAGGCTGCAACATTTTTTTCGTGTGTTGCATTTGCAAATATAAAAAAATAAAGACGTTTGTTAAAAGTTCAATAACTTAAAAAAAATTAAATGGAACACCCTATTTATTGTTTTTGCATTTAAAGGATTATTAAATTGTCTTTCTAAAATTATTTACTTTTATAATCAATAACTAAAAAGATATTTAACGTTAAACATTAAACAAAAATAATTACTATTGTTTCAATAGCCAAAAAGTGCACAGTTGCATAAGAGATGGAAAGAATATCACTTAATAATCACATTTGTGTTAAACTGAATTCATTATTCTTTATCGTTACAATAAATAAATTCGAATTTCAGTATTTATAACGACTTTTACAATTTCTGGATAAATTAACAAATAAGTGATCCGTGATGGAATTACTATGGTTGCCATAGTATCAACTCAGATGCTCAGATATTGATAGGCATTACTGCTACAATTAATATTGAATGTTAAATATTTTTTTATTTGTCAATTCTAGACATTAAAAGTTTTTTTTTTTAGTTAGGCAATTTATCAATCTATTAGATGTAAAAATAAAAAATAGGGTGTTCCATTTAAATTTTTTAAGTTATTTAACTTTTAACAAACTTCTTAATTTATTAATCTTTACAGATACAGCAAAACACTAAAAAATTGCTGCAGTTTTGCAGTTGCTGTACTTTCTTATTTGTAGAAGTAAGAAAAAAAATTGTTGTAGCTGTCTTAGTTTTTGTGTAATAAATTTTTAAAAAGAGCATGTTATCGTCAAAATAAAAACGTCTTATTTCTAAAACTAAGCGAAATCGACTAATAAAAGTATAGTGTAAATACATTGTTTTAAAAGGCTACATCCAAAAAGGCAAAGAAACATACAGTGTTTCATTAAAAAAACACAAGTTGGTATCGTAACTTATTTTTGGAACACTCTGTGCAGTTGAAAATAATTTTAGAGTATCTATCAATGTCCTATACATTTTTTTTTAAGTTTTATCAATTAGAGGTCACTAATGGACTTTTCCAACTCGCTAGGACATTCTGTATATATGTACTATAAAAGGTAGGTAAAACAATGTAAGATGCTCACAAGGATATTGTCATTGCTAACATAACATATACATAACACTCTTCCTATACGTTTCTTTGTTTGGATCAATTAAGCAATTCATTGCTAAAAATAGATTAATTTCTTATTGCGATAATAAAATTAATTAATTGTTGAACAAGATTTGGTACAATCTTACTACTTTAGTAACTGATTTTCTTGCTTTGAATAAATATGTATACAAGAACTGGCATTCTGTTTCTACTCTTGCAAATTCTAACTATAGAGAATGTGCATTCTCTTCCAACCGAAGATGTGATAAAAGGCACAAAACCGTTTATTTGTGGGTTGCACGAAGTACCAACATCCTGCGTAGAGCCTTGTCTACCCACATGTGATATCCCAAAAAGGCCCCCTTGCAGTTTTAGGTTATGCCTCGGGGGCTGCATATGTGAAGAACGGTATATCAGAGAATCCGAAAACGGCAAATGTGTACCAATTGAAAGCTGCGTAAATCCAGGTAAGAGTTAATTAGAAAATTACAATTATTCAGCGTTTTTGTAATTAGGGGAGATTAGTAGAAATTATACAAAACCATGTGGTAAAAATGAAGAAGTAACAGAGTGTGCAGATGCATGTCAAGCCACTTGCGACGTTTTGACACCACCTGGGTGTACGATGCTATGGTGTCCGAAAGGGTGTATTTGCAAAAAGGGTTATGTGAGGGAGAAAACAGGAGGAGTTTGTGTATTAAAAGAGAACTGTAAAAAATCGAATTAAAACTATTACATAACTTATAAAATTGCTAGTTAATTCGTATTTGTTTTATTAGTGAAGGTCAAAGGTTATTATATCTGACACATAACCTGATCTTGTTTGAGTTATGTACATACGAGTAATACCTATTTACAAAATAATTTTTGAGTGAATGCAATTTTTTGGAGTTGAATAAAATTACGAAGTAAAACTACGAGCAACTCGTATATTTAATCCTGTATTTGGCTCTGCGTTTATTCCTTCATATATCTCCTTTCGTAAATGTATTCTCTTCAGTGAACACATTTTTTACAAGTGGCTCCAGACTAGACGACTCCTCATCTAGATGACATAAAGACTTTATGAACTAAAACCATTTCTTGTGAAAATATTGAAAATCTGACTTTCAGAATATAACAGTAGTAAAATATTATCTATTTTTTTATGTGACATCAATGTTTTATAAGTTTTAGCCGATATTGAAAACTTGGCGGCCGTCGATGGATATTTCACGAAAGGATGAAAAACATTTTTCTTCCAATCTGTGCTTTCAATTGCATGCTTTATGTCAAAGTCAAAAAAAATCTGTAAAGCTTTTATTTTAAATCAAATGTAGAAAACGTAACGTACGAGTAAGTTAACTAATTAAGCTATTGATATTTGAATAGAACTGATTTTAAAAGACTCACAGGTAATCATTGTAAAGTATTTATGCTCTCTCAATGAAATTATAGAGCAATATAAGAAGCTTGCTTTGGCATACCTACAGATAAAAAAGTAATATAAATGCATTTGACTACCACTTTTTAAAACTGAGAGAGGATTTAGCATATTTTTATATATTTTAAAAACATGTTTCTGCACCACAAAGAATTTGCATCACATTGATAATACAGAGTGGTTATAAATGATTTTCATCTAGCCAGCTTTGGATTTTTTTGCATGTAACTTTATTTGTGCCGTTCTACTTTTTGAATGCTCTAGTTCTGTCATTAGTATCACTTATTAATTAATAATAAATTGTTGTTAATTAAACTTTCATTGTTTCAACTAACCAATAATAATTGATAATAATGTAAACTTTGGAAGAAAACAAGTTTATAAGTCTATTTTCGAAGTGGATGCTTAGTAAACGGCGATTTTTTAATTTTGAGTTAAAACAAATAGGTACTACAATTTTCGTAAAGCGGCATTTTTTATTTTACATGGAAAATTCACAGCTGGCTWGATGAAAATCATTTATAACCACTTTGTATAATATAATGTATAATATAATATAAAAACATAATGAATGAGAAAATTTATATAGATACATAGTTTGTATTGTTTCCAAATTGAAAATATCTATTTTTTCATTTTTATTTGTAGTAGTTTAGCACTGTTTAAGAACAGTGCAAATTAATACTTTTAAAATCTAAATTGGCTTTTTTAGTCTTTTAAGCTTGTTCCCTTTGCCAATTTTTGTAACTGACCAGTTTTCATTTTAGGAAATGACTTTTTATACTATTAGACTACGGTAGTTTTTAGTTAATTTTCTTTGTGTGATAGGAATTCCGAATCTGAATGTAGGTTTTTTTTTCAATTTGTTTCATGTCTCTTATTTAAGACTTGTATTTAAGAGTAATTACTATTTAAAATAAATATAAATAATGCGGCAGTTCTGAAAACATTAAAGTCATTGTTTCTTCGCATTAGGAAAATTATATCTAGATTTGAAGCAATTTAATCTCAAATCAAGACTTCCCGAAAGCAAACATAAAAAACTTTTCGAAAGTTAGTAAATTGAATCGATTCCTCATTTCTTATCGAAGATAAATTAGCAAAGTGCCGTTCCAAGCAGCCGTGTTAACAACGCTGTGTTCCCTTTGAAAAGCCAAGTGTACAAACGCCTGATTAATTGATGAAGGATTTCACGTGGAGATCTCACCACAGGTCCTATTACAACTCCCATTGTGTCGCTCGTGCTTTCAGCGAGCTTTCACTTCAATGCGCTAACATTTTGTAAAACGACCAACAATACATGATTATTTGTTTTCAAACTCCCTCTCTATTTGTTATTAAATCAAGCGGATGAAAATATTTACAATGAAAAATGATGGGAGTAATATCGTAAAGCTGTTTTAATTTCCGCGGCTCCTTATTAAAGTAGAGTGGAGTCACGTGTCAGGTATCAGTTTAGCAGGAAAGATATTAATTTTGCCATTATCTGGCTCATTATTAACTCCATTTGCAGGGCATAATCCCAAACTGCTATGCAATTAAGCACACATACTGTCAGTTGGAAGAGATTGCGTGACGATAAAAGAAAATTCAGTTATGTTTCGAGTATTAACGAAATCTAACGTTTCACGAGATTTTGTTACACAAAAGATTAAAACAAACACTATAAGAAATCTGCATATTACCTAACTTTTTATATGATGTACATACCTATGAGTTTGTCAAGCCAGAGATTAGTCCTGCCACTTTTAAATATGATAAAACTGCCACAAAATATTTAATAAGTAAATACTCAAAAAAAAAACTTTTTTGTATACGCTCCAGAAAATAGTTGTTTTAGGGAATTGTGTTTGAGTCTCTAAAATAAGTCTTTTTCGGACTCAATAAAATAGTACGTAAAATGATTATTTTAGTTACCCAATCCCCAAAAACAGTTTTTCCGGACGAAAAAGTCAATTTGGTTACTATGGTGGCGAACTTTTTTTAATGAATAGAATAGGTAAGAGGTGTGAATACATTTTATGGAAGCGATAACAAAAAATTTTTGTGTGTAAGACGTACTTAAAACGTTTTTGCCGACTCACCTGCTATTCCGGACGAGGCTTTGTAAAAACTGTATTTTAGGTACTTGTAACAAAAATAACTATTTAAAGAAATTTATTTTATTTATTCTTCGACACTGTCAAAATTTACGGTTTTTCTCCCATGTAAGGAAGTTTTGACAACTGTTTTAAGCCTTGTTGAGTCTAATTCGAAGAATAAAATGTTGTGTTCAACTCGTTTGAGTGTGAATCGGACGCTTTATTCTACCTCGTGGATGATAAACCACTCGTTACACGCGTGGTTCAAAAATCTACTCGGTGAAATAATGCACTCAAACTCGTAGAATAAATAACTATTATTTTTAGTTAATTGCAAGTATTTATTATCACAACTAGAAGCAGAGACAATAAATTGCAAGAGTTTAATAAAGGTTCAGTAAAATATGGAAGGCTTGGAAAAATTAATTGCAGTACTGTAATTAATTGCGGTATATAAAACAGAAAAACTGTGGAAGAATGTTTTAAGAGATTGGTGTAAATTTCAATGTTAAAATTAAATTTTTTTAAGATTAAATTTTGCAAAAATTTTGATTTTCTGACTGCAAACATATAGCGAAAAGGCGTTTATAGCAACACCATAATCCCCGTAAAGTAATCAACTGTTCGGAATAAATTACAGGGATTTGTTGACATTTGAGTTAATACAATCTAGCTAATATCGTAACGTCCCATTCCGCTTATGTGTTAATCAGAGAACTTCCAGGGCAATCGTGTGTTTTTAGCAACCAAGTTTGCTATAATCTCACTGTTCTAAAGCTCTATTTAATACCAACGTTAATTACACCAGCACACATTTTATGACAATAGGGTCACTTCAAATAGACATTCCCTCTTTGCATGAAAATTATAGAAAATTGCCGGATTTTCTGAATACTTTTCCTCAAGGATAGATATCTCGTAATTTTTTCATGCAGTTATTTTATTATTTTTATCAATACTTTTAGGTATATGGCGTGAAATATCATAAAATGTTTTACGATTCAATGAAAATATAAAATAAATAAAAACATCCCCACGATGTATGAAAATAAACTAAAAATGCTATTTACGTAACAAATTTTTAGGTTTTATATATTTTAATTAGCATACTTGCATACCACGTGGTCCAAGGTTTAAAAATAGAGAAAATCAAAAATAGCTACTTTTTTATATTTTGACATTGCTTTTTGTGTTGCGAAACGAGCTGAATATATATGAAAAATGTTTCAAATTCTTTAAGAAATAATCACATATCTCTACATACCTACTTTATTAAATTACAAGAGAGAAATACTTTGATAAAAATGTCTAGGAACATTACACGAAATTCACCAAAATTAAAAACATTCTGTTGTATGTTCTTATTATAACATTTATTTATGTATAATACAAAAACATTGATTTTACTCCCTGTACCTACGTATTGATTAGTTTTGTATGTTTGGCAGTTAATTTCTTGATCTTTTAAAACTTCGTTTTGCTCCACACTATTTCTTCTTAGCAAAAAATAAATTTTATATTAAGCATTTTAGAAATCGTTTGTTTACCCATTTTAGTTGTTTGTACTAATAGGTACCAATGATTCTAAAGTTACAAATAAATAAAGTTTTTATTTTAGAAACTGTTCGTAGTATTAGAATTTTGCGTTTTTGTGCTTGATTTTTTCAGTTGTCTATAATTGTATGTAAGTACAATATTTATTTTATTAAAACAAGATAAGAAAATATTTTGAACCAAAATGTAAATTATGCTTAGATAACATTCAACTGAGAGCAGAATATCAGACACTTGCTAAATTATTCCCTGCATATTAATATTGTATTACAGTGTTATTACATTCGCATAATGTTTAATTAAACTTTATTTACTTAATCTGACAAATTTCATTTTCGCAGTTGTTTGTTATGCAATGTTTTACTTAGGAAGTACTTCCACTATTTACATGTATTTTAGCTCATCTCTTCTCTAAATTATTTCCTTTCATTTTAAAAATAATAATTAAACATGAAGCAGTAATCTAAAACAATTCTCTCGAGGTGAATTAAACTACCAAAGTACAAAAGCTTAGTGCATCAGTAAAGTGCAAAATTTTGCATTGATTTTCACTCAGAGCACTTTTAAAATGCCTAAGTACACATAAAACAACACTATGCTTAAAAAATCTAAATTTTTCATAAGTTCAATTGTAACACAATAAACTGAATGTTTTCATTGAGCTTTTAGAAAAGTTGGCAAAAGTTTCCATCGAGTTTTGAATCAACAAATACAGAATATAAAGAACAGGAGTAGAACTTTCCTCTTCGATGAAAATGTTACGTGCGATGCAAAATATAGAGCTGTTTATATTCAATACAATTTTAACGTATCGTATCACCATTTGGGTGAAAACGACTGTCTAAGAAATAATCATACGCTGCTTGAAGAAAATTTAGGGGCATCACCATTGTCGTCAAACACACCCCATTTTGACCTCGGGCCAAGGGTGATGTCATTTTGACAACTGGGTGTAGCACATCTCGTAAAATGTTCATTTCGGGCTGAACAGGGATGTTGGCAGTAACAATAAAATTGGAAGATTGTTTATTTTTCTTAATATAACCAACTCCTGATAAAAATGAAACGTCGTAAATTGCGTTGGTTGTTTTTGAATTATTTATTTAAACAGGATTGTAAATTGAAGTCGCTTGTTTTTTTTTTCGGGTATAGGTAAATATTTAAAGAGACTATGAAGTAGATTGTTATTTAAATACGCGAGGTACATTTTTGGTGAGCAATAATTTTTTTATTAAATGCAAACAGTATTATTTTATATTTTATCGAAAAATCTTTGTGTTATAAGTACATAGTTTATAATATTAAGTATTGAAGAGGCCTTGAAATTAGGAGCGCTTGGGACAGTCCTCCTTCCTGACGCATTTTCGCGTTTTATCATCTAGAACGTATCCTTCTTTGCAAAAACACCCTTTGACACATTTCTTCTCACAAACTTTCACCGGTTGAGAGCAAGTTCCAGGACACAAGGATCCGCATTCGTTATAGATTTCATTTTCACCGCATTCTAAATAAATATTTAAGATAAACTACGATGATTTTTCTACTAACCTTTCTTGCAAGCAACTTCAGGAATACATTTTCCATCTTTAGTTTCTCTAATATAATAATCTTTACAAATACAACCCGTTCGGCAATATAAAGGACAAATTTTGGGTTCACTTTCGCCGCAAGTTCTGGGACAGGCGGTAGCGCAAGTACTGAAAATCTCATTTTTTTCACAAACGTGAACATCTAAAATGAAAAATTAATTGCATTGAAAACTAGGGTTTTTCAAAGTTACTTTCGCATGATTCGGGCACACAACGACCTCCTGGACCTTCCCTAATGTATCCTTTTTTGCAAAAACATCCAATAACACAATTGTCGGTGCAGATTTGCGGCGATTTGTTTTGGCAAGTGGGAGGACAAGCAGTTCCACAGGTTTTAAATTCTTCGTTTTCGGGACAAGTTTTTTCTATGAAAAATTTTTAAAGTATTGTTTTAGATTAATTTAAAGAAATACCTTGATCAGCAATGGTGTAACCCACCGCGAGAAGAACGATTGCAATTAGTTGAATCTGCATGTTGTCTATGTCTGATTCTTACAACTCTTTTAACTTAAATACTGATTTGTATAGGTTGTGTAAATTTTTATCTGCAAATATTTAAATATTTAACACTGAGCGTTCAACTTTATGACAGACAAAATGATGAATAACAAACAAAGTTACGAATAAAATCATATTTGCAAGAGAATTAAGTACTTTAATTACAAAAAAAATATTTTTATATCAACCTTATTAACTTAAGTTTAAATGACGTTTAGATTTAGATATTTATTGTGTGTTGTTTTCCAAGCAGGGAAAATTTGTTATTTGTTTCCAACTCAACAGACATGTTTACTAATTAGTAAAACATTGTTCTGGAAAGAACTTGACAACACAGGGTTTTTATTTTTTTCTGATTAAAGATTTTTGCACTCTTGAATAAACATCCCAACGGTTTACAAGATTACAAGTAAAACAAACGTTTAACTTGTTTTCATCTACTGTGGTTTTCAGGAAAACATTGAGTTAACAATTATTGAGTAGTAAATATTTAAATTAACAGGGTGATTCATTCTTGGCAAAAAGTAAAATTGTGATCTTATGTAAAATTTAACCTCATGAAATATTTTGGATCTCAAATTTTCTTTATTATTGAAAAATTTACTAAATTATTTGTGTCAAAATTAACGTTATAATGGTTATCCTCTTTTCTTATTTAAAAAATATAAATTCAAAGCAATTTTGTAGTAAATGTTTTTAAGAAAAATGCAAAAAGTGCTGTTTTGAAGATCACTTGTTTGTTCTTATGAAATAAACAGATTAATGAACCATAATTTTATCCGGGTAATAATACATAAAACGAGCACGAGGAAAGTTTTTCTTGTTATTTTTAGTCTTGCTCGAAAAAAGCAAGTAATGGTAAAGTTGTGGAGTGTGAACCATCCTTTCATGAAATCTAGTATTTAGTAAATTGTGTTGGAGCTTTTGTGGGTAGAAACTTGAAGAAAATTTCAGGCTGGGGAAAGAGCTGTAATGATATATTAAAAGTTAATGTTGACGTCTTGATTTTGTATCATGTTGAGCCGATAAAATGCTACAAAATTGTACCAATCTCGAAAAAAATCTAAAAGATTTAGGTCGAGGAACAAGATGTTACTTATATTTGTATTATTTTTTTTTAATTTTGTCAAATACGTACTTTTTTTAAAATTAGTTTTCAAACATTGAATCACTCCAATTACAAGTGTTTTAAAAAATAAATGCATAGTAGATATAATAAGCATCAAGAACGGTAAGGACATTTTACCGTTCGAAGATAATTGTTTTGTCATCACTTCACTCCTCCTCCAATTATTGTCTGAGATCGGTAAGTCCTTAATGTTCGGGATGCTAATGACATTTTTTGTGCGACTGATTTTTGTTAGTTTTTTTAATAAAATATCTAAAAAATGTTCTAGAACACCAAAATAGTATATTATAATACTAAATTATAAGCAAGCCTTTAAAACACGCACGACGGGTTTAAAAGCACAACGCGTCAGCGGGCGACCTTATATTTTCAGTAGTTCTTGTTTCATAATGAGAATTGCTACAGCTATGAATAAAACACCAAATTTAATCTAGATGGCTATTCGTCAATCAATGTCTAGGTTTCAAAGAGTAAAATTATCGGAAACTAGAATGATTAATATGTTAATGTGATTTTGTTACACCAATTTTCGGACAATATAAATTATCCTGTGAATAAGTATTACTTAGTTTTTAATAATTTATAAATAAATATTACAGGATTAGGTAATAGTGTATAGATATATAAGTTGATTGAAGTACAACGACCGCAGCGAGTGGCACAATTCGTATTACATATAACATATTATAGTGCGTTTTATTTTGAAAAAAAAAAACATAAAATGGGTAAGGGTAGATAAAATTTTGTACATTATAAGTAAGTTTAGTTATTTGAAATTGATAAAAGTTTTAACGATTTTAAAATTTCTGACCAACAATGTGTCGTGCACGCAGAGCTCCCATGGTGTTAACTCAATTAAGCATTGATGTATTTGAAAAGGTCGCCCCACTAACGACCAACTTAATTTAATTAATAATTCAGCAATTAGGTAATTTATTAATAGGCTTGCTTATGAAGAGTAGATTTCCATTCAACCTTATGTCAACAGTGGATATAGCATGGAGCTTTCTAATGGACTTGATTAATCGTTCCTCTACGTGCGAAATATTGAATTCGCATTTTCTGAATTTCACTCAAGGTTGATTAATGTCACAAGCAATGTTTGCTAATGCTATACACTATATTGAAATTGAGGTATAAACTGAATCGCCCACGTTTTCTCTCTTTAGCTATTAACACGTTACATTATAGTATGTAGTTTGCTTAGACGCTTTTCCTATCGATGTAATTCACTGTTGCTGAAAGCTATTTGCTTCGGATGGAATGGAATGAAAGTCATTTTGTAGTAATAATGTGTTTAACTTTTATGGAACTTAATCTAAAGGTTTATTTCGGCTTTTAGTCGTTATTTATAGTTTAAAATCCAAAGTACTGTCTTTTTAAAGGCTGTAGAGTCACCTTCTAGCTCAAAATTAAAACGTTTTAGTTGAAATCAACCATTACAGTTGGAGACAAAATACTTTGGTCGTCACTTTTCTGACACTTTAATGTAATTCAAGCTTTAACGTTAAAATGAATGTCAATTTCAAATTAATGACAGCTATTATATCTCTCTATCAAAAATATGTACAACTTGACAACTATGATGACTGAGAGTAGCTAAAAGTAAGGTTAACATTCCTAAAGCATGCTTTACAATTTAATGTCACTCAAGTGACATTGACGACCAAAGTATTTTGTCTCCAACTGTACATGATTAAAAAAAAACAGTATTTAACAAGGAGGTACCTAAACGTCAAAATGACAAACAATTTTTTGAATTTTGTTTTCGTTAGTGAGAAGTTTTACTTTGTTTTTTTAAACCAACAAAATTACGAGTTATAATAAACTTAAAACATTTTCTTAAACAACAGTATTAGTAATAAGAGTTGTTTTCATTAAAAAACAGTCTCTTATAGATTTTCATAGTTGAGATGTTACATGCCTTTCTGATACACTTTAAATTAATATCTATACGCACACACACACACACACACAAATATGTGTTATACAACTTTTTGTGATTGCTTTTACATTTGCATTAATGTTATTTCAAGATATATTTATGTAAAATATTTGCAAAATTATTGGTAAAAACCCAAACGTCAAACTCGTACTAATTTTACACAGAAATGCATTTATCAACGAGTTATTTATAAAACGCAGACAACTGAATACCTTTTAATTTTGTGCTGATAAATGCGTATGTTTATGTTTGACTTAATGAAATAAAATTAAATGAATATCTTCGTATTATATTCCAAAATTTGTGTTTATTATTTTTTATTAAACCTCATAAATAACGTAAACTTTAAAAACTTTATCAACAATTTTTTTCAATTCAGGATATCTATTTTTTTTAATTTCATGATTCATTTTATTATTATACCTACTTAGTATCGTGAGGCTAAATAAAACGTGGTCAAAATCTTACAGAGAATTAGAAATTATTTATACGTATTAGACATATGTACATTAGTATTGAAAAATGTTATCTTGAAAAATAAAATAATGTCCTACTTGGTACTCGTATTTTTCATGGAAGAATAACATTTTCTCCTGTATCGATCCCCTTGACTCGCCTCGTTCACTTTCTTACAATTATAAAATTAATCGTACGCTAGCATACTTTACCTATTTCTCATTATTTCTCAAATGTAGAAGCTTTTGCAAATTCCCCTTTTATGGTGGTTTGGTGTAATATACCACCTTGATAAACACACCAGTTAAAGATAATACGATTGGATAGGAGGGCAGCAAAAGTCGTAAAAAGTTTTCTAAGTGAATGGAAAAGGAGTTCTGTTTCGTTTAATGTTTTCGTGGAAATGAGAGATAATGGAGCACAAATGCAATGGTGGCCTTTAAAAATTTTAAACAAGTATCACTTGTAATAGCATTTCTTATTTAGTATTTGCTGGAAACTTGCGATATTTATAAAGTTAGCAAAGTCGAAATTTTAAAAACTTATTTATTTATGTTATTTGCAAAGTTACTAATTAGCATTTAAAACTTGTATTGCAGCTTGTTGCTTCAATAAAATTTCATTTGCAAATTTCTTTATCTTATGTTAATGTTAGTGCAAATACTGCCTGGAATCTGGAATTTGGTGCAGGTTTAAGGATAAAAAAAGATTTTGAGAAAGCTTCTTTCACACGAGTTACTTATATTAAATACAAAATATCTACATGTCAATTACGGAAATAAACCGACGAAATATTTTGTCATTTTGGTAACCGCAACAAAGCCACAACTGTTGGCTTTGTCACGTTCAGCATCATGTGCATCTACCATGAGTATCCCTGAGTCTAAATAAAAACGTGATCAAGAGTGCTGTAACACTCTAAACGTATGTATATCGATAAGATGACAAAATACACTACAGAGTGTAGATAAGCCATTGTGCTTATGTTGTCAATCAATGATGATTTGTTCAAAAAAAATGGCTTGAATCAAAATTTAACGTAAGACAGGTGTTCAAAAATACGTAAATTTGACAGATAACTGGCAGGTATTAATGCTACTATTCAAAATGTATGGAGCACTCTTGACCAGTTTTTATTTAGATATACGATATTTTTATAAATCGAAATACCGATGTTGGTCCTCCTCTTTTACACAGGCATCTCGCATCTGGCGAGACCGTTTCCACGGTAACGCCGTAGTGTATACACTCACTCACTAGGTCACTAATCGATTCGCCTGCTGCGATCTCAAAAAATCACCTGACCGGTAAGATAAATTCATGCGATAGACACAAAATTGACAAATCTGGTGTATTTGTCAAAGCAGTAATCATAATGTCAAGCCTGTAAATTACATTAGTGATTGATGCTGGGTTGTCAAAAAGTCAAAATTAGAGAATATAATTAAAACTCAAATAACATAAAATAATCTTTTGTTAAAACGTCAGTTATTGCGATGTTGTATATTTTTTATTAAAAATGATTAATTATCTTCATCGTAATTAAGAATCTTTTGAATATAATAAAACTGCTACGACAGTCTATTCATTTGTTTAGCAGGTAGCTTTGTGCAGATATTATTACAAAGCTTTAAGTTCGTGTTTTACGGAACAAGGAAACTTCCGTTTTTTTCAAAGTTTTCAGCAAAAGTGGTTTCAAAGTGATGAAAACTTTAACACAAGATTGATTTTAAGATTTCCCTTTGTGTCATCTGACCATTAAGTCTGGTATTCGACACTTCTAAAAACTTTTAATGTGTTTTTAATTGTCTCAAATGTTTGATGACAAAGATGGATGACCACCTTGAGTTAATAAACTCCAATTTTTGTGCGAAATCTAGGTCATAAAATAGTATTTTGTAAATTGTTGCTGTTATACTGTTATAACTTTGTTATGTTTAAGTAAAACTAATTTACAACTCAATTTAAATTTTTTGTGAACAAAATATCACCTTTATAATGGCGATTGAACCACCGACGTCAATTCGAGCAACTGAAAAGTAATTATGGTAATTCCAAATAAATAGTATATTAAGCATCAAGAACGGTCCCTACCGTTCGAGATGTTTACAATATGACTTTTTGCGCGATTGATTTTTCTTAGTTTTTTTAATAAAATATTTAACAAATGTTCTAGAACGCCAAAATACTATGGCAACGTTTTTGAATGCTTACCGACTTTAGCAACAATAAACAAAATACTTACCGACGAGTAAATACAACTTACTGTCCTGGAAACGGACATAGTAAACAATTGAATAGAGTCTAATCGCACAAAAAAAATATCACAGTGGAGAATTTTTTTATTTTGTTTTAGGACGTGTAATTTTCTTCGTTAAAATAAGATGATAATAAAAAATAATATGTTCCACCTATTCTCCACAAACTTGCCTTTTTTTGCTGCACACACTTTATCACTTCCTCCATTACTATGGAGCCTGGCGTTTTTTCTCTACCAACACCCATTTTCGCCAATTATCTCATTTTCTTATGGGAAAAAATCTTTGATATCTGACTAAAAGTTTTACTTCATTGTAAGAATGTGTGGCTTTGTAACATCCCTGAAGTAAAATCGAATCGGAAAAACTAGATTAAAGTTAGAAAATCACATTTTCGTGTTCTTAGCTTAGCTGTGATTCGCCGACAGCAATTATTTATACAGCAGTCCAATCAATTTGCTGGTTTACTTATGAAGTTAGCGCCAAAAACGTTCGCAAAATCAATCAGCCGAAAAGCTAATAAATTTTATCGAACGGTTATGATGTAAATTCAATGACCACGAAATCAATCAAACAATTTCTAGCAAACGTAGCCTATAAATCAATCAAAAGAGTGTTGGAAAAAGTCCAGTGATTTTAGTAAGTATCTTTCCAATTTAATTGTCTTTATCTGATCGCACCGAATTACCATAAATAAACCCCCTGAAGACAATAAAAAAGAAAATAAAAGATAACCACGAGAATTTATAGCGTCTGACAAATTCATCCTGAATACGTTGACCCTCGAGTTCAACTTCGTCCTTTGCGAACGATATGGAAAGTATCTCTTTATTCGATATCCTCTGGAATTTTATTACTTACTGTTCTATAAGAGTAATGTAGGAAAGTTTCTTTAACGTAATGAAATTGGGGTCAAAAAAAGTACAAAGAAGAGACGCTTTTAAATCAAATCGTAATTATTGATTTTCTTTCAGATTATTCGAAGAGCACGCCGAGTTGCTAACTTTATTTGAGAAATTCAAGGAGCTGAAGACGAAGGAGGATCAAGCCAGCAGTTTAGAATTGGCTGAACATGCCAGCACAGTTATGAATACGTTAGATGAAGGTATCAAAGAACTCGACAATTTGGATACTTTTTTCGAATATTTACACCAAGTTGGAGCCTCGCATAGAAGGATACCTGGGTTTAAAGTGGAATATTTCTGGGTAATAAATCTCTTTCATCTTCTCATAAAAATTAAGTCACTTTTGAGTTTTTATTAATTTGTTATTCATTTTGATCTTTAATTAATACAAATTAATTTGGTTCTGTTTTCAGAAAATCGAAAAGCCGTTCCTGACAGCCGTGGAAACAACGTTAGGAGACCGTTACACGGAAAACGTGGAAAACATCTACAAAATTACGATAAAGTTCATCATTGAAACATTGGTAAAAGGCTACGACAATGCCAACGCGCCAACGTGAAAATCATCAGACTGATACGAATTATAGCCCGTCACTGCTATATAAACCGAAAAAACTACTACAAATTATATAAAACAAAAAATATCTTTTGAGAAGCGACGGATGAGTGTGTGGATGAGACGCCGAATGCATAACAGACTTAAAAAGTGTTGTAGATATATTGTATGCTTATGTGCTTATACGCCTTCCATTTGGTATAATTCATTTTCGAGGGTTAGTTGATGTTGTTAGCAAATAATTTTTGTTAAAATTAAAGTAATACCTCACACAAGACAAAAAGTGTTTTTTGATTTTTACATATCGTGTTTCCAACATAAAAATTGTAAAGTTTAATGTTTGTTCTTATGGCAAGTGCAACTTGAATGAATTTTACAATAATAAACTTGATTGCTGCGTTACTTTAATTAAATTTATTATAGTTGTCCAAATAGGTCAATTGTGAGTCAATTTTCCAAAAAGTACCAAAATTTTATATAAAAACGACCCAGATCTAGTTCTACGAAATCCATTATTAAGTTTGTATGTCAATAGTGAGCCAATGATTATGTGGAGAGCCTTATCATTATAACATATTGTAAATATTATACAATTACTAAATCACACAATACGTTTTTATATGATAAATTATTATTAATGAATTATAAAAATGTGAACAAATTGTTAATTATTATGTATTATATTTAAGTATGACGATATTAATAAAGATGTGTATTTTGTGCTACACATTATATGTATGTACTCATAGTATATTGTAAATGTATTATTATCATGTTCACCAACAATGATCAGATTCATGTTAATCGTATAAGAAAACATTGTTATTTATGTATTATTATATATAGTTATATGTACTCAGTGTATTATTCTTCCATATTTCAAATACACTCCTTGGAAAATGGCAACCTCCAAACTTCATTACTGTGCGAAAAAAAAGTTCATTATTTAAAAAAGGAAGAGAATGTTTGAAATGTGAGCTATTTTTATCTTATCTTATTTTATACGTATACAGACATAAACCAGCTCTCATTTCCAAGACCCACCCAACACTAAATGTCATATTTAACAAAAGTAAATTAAATTATTAACAATTAAAAAAAATATGAAATTAAACATCTCAAAAATTAACAAAAAAATTAAAATTATCGTTTTGTTGACTGGTTTCAAGTAATACCTAATAATTTGTATACTTAAATATCTATTTTACATAGGCACCTAATTATTTAATTTATTTTTATTTTGTATTATTTGCAATTTTTTTTTAAGTTTTAGTCTATTATTTATCATTTTGTATAAATATAGTTATGTCAATAACAGATTAGATATCGATCCCAAGTTATGATTGTAGTTCAAGCTATCGCATTGAAGTGACAACAAAGTTTTTAACTTTAAATATAAATGGAAGACGAAGTAAGTACTGTGTAATGTAACTAATTTATCACTTTGAAGTAATAAAGTGGAAAAAAAATATCTTAATCAATTCTATTGGCAATTACTTGCATTTAAATATAGTATTTTTTTAATAACTAACCCCATTTGAAAATCTAGACAAATATAATAAGTAACTATAATTAGAATTTTTACAAAGTACTGTAATTAGCTAAACTTATTCAAAAGTATCGAACGATCAAGATAATTTGTAATCGAGTCATCTTTGGATCCGAAAACGTATGTCTGTAAAATGTCAAGTAAAATGACAAGTCGAAAGGTAGAATCGCAATATCAAAAAGGTGGTAATTATAATAACTAAATTTATAATTTACCGTCATAAAAGAACGGTCCTACTTATTATTATACGTCGGCGACTAATCCCTGCCCATTTTGCCGTTTTGCCTTACTACTTGTCATTTTATTTGACGTTTCCCGTGAAGTTAGTTCAAAAACAGACATACGTTCTTGGATGCATAGAAGACTCGATTACAAATTATCTTGATTGCTCGATATTTTCTGTTTCTTCTAGTATATCCAAGAATTCAGATAAATCAAACAAATAAAATTGCAGTTGAGCTCACAAAAATGTATACTTATGTACATACATACTTATATTTAAACGGATTTAGATAACTTTGTAAACAGATAAATACGAGCGTTCTTTTTAAAGACCCGACTGTCTTCTAAACAATTATAAATCTAAAAATTATACACAAAGGTTGCGATAAAATAGATAACTTTTCTACAGTGGTCAAAACCAGTGAATTTCTTTATTGTAAAGCAACAATAATAATAATAATAATAATAATAATAATAATAATAATAATAATAATAATAATAATAATAAAACTATCTTTAATACTTTGTTTTAAGTTTGTCTAAATCTAAATAAGTATTTGTGTTTATCAGCCAAAAATTCAATAAAAATAAATTTAGGTATCTATTTTATTTTTCAGTGCTAAAATTTGACTAACGCTTATCTGTTGTTGATAAAAGTTCAATAATTATAAATAAATATTATTTATTTATTTATTTGCGACAACTATAAAATTGCAGCAAATAGAAAAAAAGATAAATCATTTTTTCATTCAAGACACTAACTTCATTTTTAATTATTATTTCGTACAAACACACCAATTTTTCAGACTTTCCGCAAACGCAAAGGTACAACAGACAAAGGAAAAATTTACGAAGATTTAGTCGCCGCTGATTTAATTTTAAAGCTACTGACTGAAGAAATAAATGTGAATAATTTCAAACTCTCAACTAATAATGAAAAATTCGGAGATTTCGACGATGTTGTTTTAAAACTTGATACAGGCGAAATCTACGCTTTACAACTGAAGCACTCAAGTAACAGCAATAAAGCTGTTCGTGAAACTGGTTTAACAGATGGTAAAAAGTTTAACCTTAAAAAGTATTACGAATCTTTTAAACAAATCAAAGTTCCTTGTAAAGTCGTACTGTTTACTAATCGAACATGTGATATTGATAATAAAGAATTCAATTTCGACAAAAACATAAATATAAAAAGCTCGAAGTGTAATCCAATAGATCTATTAAATACTTCTGAAAACGGCAGTTGTTACACTTTTAAGATGGATCAGTTCAGTTCACAACTCGACGATTATCAAGATTTTTTCAACAATTTTTTCCTCTACTGTGAACAAGCAGACGTCGAAAAACTTAAAAGTAAAATTATATCGAGATTCCAAAAAAACATTTCTTGTAGTAAATCAGTCTGTGATCAGTACCTCCATTTTATTTCAACCTGGAGTCTTCGCGAAGGACAAAAAGAAATGTTGGACAAAACCATAATGCAACGTGTCATAGTCCTTTTTCTACTCGAACGTTGTATCCAAGCATTTGATTTTGGTCACGTCAATCAAGAAAGAAAACTTTTACAAGAAGCAATTTTTCTGTTTCGTGTTACACTCATCGAGAAAGACTGTTACGAAAAGGTTAAACAGATTTGGGGTGATTTTGACGACGAATTTGAAAACAATAAAGCAGAAGTGGGAAAACTACGAAATAAATATCAAATAAAAACATATGAAGAATTAGACAGCAATGACAAAGCAAAAATATTGTGGTTAATGGGCAAATGTCCTCTGATTATCGTTGCTAATAACGAGACGGTGAATAAGGTACTACAATTGTGCCCCAATGAAAAATTCGTTTTGCTTCTCGATCACGAAAATGTAAATAAAATAAACGCCTTCACTGTTTTCGAAAATTTATCAGACTTGGATTTAAAATCTGATATTTGTCAAAAAATTCTCCAAACGTTTTATTGCTCTATTCAAGGAAAAGAAAAAATAAGTTTAAAATGTCTCATTGCTAAAAACGAAGAGTGTCGAGAAATAGTAACCATCAGCGATTTAGTCAATATGATGGATAGTCCTCGTCTTATTGGAGAAGAAAAAGATAAAATTCCGGATCCATACATTAACAGATTTTTGACTACTAATTTAATAAACATTAAATATCTAAAAACTGTTGATAAAAACACACTCGTAGTTCTTGACTGTAGGAACAAAATTGATGAAATCAAGAATCATCTAGGAAGTTATAATTTAAAAAGAGTTTCAACATGGTTGAAAGATTCTTTGCTTTACGACCATAAAGATTCAAATCAAGTATCGCTGTTTCATTCGAGTCCAATCATAAAAAAATTTGTTACGGGGCCTGATATGTACGTAAGTGAAGACAAATGTACGCTGGAAGAATTTGAAGAAATTTGTGAAAAAAAACAAAAACAAGGAAAAATATCACCACTTCAGAGTAATCGACGATATGACTTTAGAGTGGATCAGGAGCAAAAAAAGCATCACTGCTTTAGAGCAGTTTCGAACCGGTCAAACCTCCATTGAAGAAACAAGTCTTTACGGTTTTGAGCCGGAAAATAACCTAAATTTAGTGAACGGAGATCCCGGAATAGGAAAATCTGAGTTATTGAAAAATAACAAGAATAATTCAAATCCGGGAATTCTCTGTATCTTTTTCCCTTCAAAAGATACGACTTTACTTTGTTCACAACTTGAAGCTAAAAGTGATTTGTATGAAGAATTGGTCACTTTTATTATTGATGTGAAATATCAAGCTTATTCACGTTTCGATAAAAATGTCTTAAGGTTTTTAATTGAAACTAATCAAGTGATGTACTTTTGGGATGCGTTGGACGAAATTTCGACAAAAAATATGGAGACTACCGTAAATCTTATTGAGACTTTATCAAAGAAAAGTCATTGTCAATGGGTGTCCAGTCGTTGCCATTTGAAGAGTCAGCTAGAGAAGAAATTCAACGTTCTTTCTAGAACCATAATTCAGTTTGATGAAGAAGAACAATCTCTTTATATACATAAACGTCTTGGAAATTTATATTCAAAAGAAGACATTAACGAAGTGATTGAAAAAATCCGTTCCACAGTAACTTTAATGAAGCACTACGACATTTTGGGCATTCCTTTACAAGTGTTTATGCTAACCGAGTTGTTTCTTCAAGACCAAGAAAAGTACTTTAAACTTTTAAAAAACATGTTTTCTTTAGCCGACCTCTACCATTACATCATCGAAGAAAAATTCAACGTCTATTACAAAGACAAAGCTGGTATCAATTCACCTAACGATGCTCTGAAACGAATCCTGATGTTTCACAGGAAAAACATGTACGAAAATTACGAAAAAGCTGCATTGAAGACTTCAGTTACTAAAGAAATTTTGAAACGTTTCCATATCAATTGTGACAATTTTTTAAACGAACTTGAAACAGGAGACGACAATATCGGATTGATTAAAGAAGTCACTGATAGTTTTCCTCAGTTCCATCACAATTCCTACGCTGAATATTTCGTTGCCACTTATTTTATCCAACATTACGAAGAAATACCAGAGTTGAGAAACCTTCTGTTCGAGAAAAGACATGCAAATATACGATTTTTCTTCGATTTGTTAACTGCGAAAGATTCACCCTCTCTTATTGCTGTTTTGTGCAAAAATATAGACTTGTTGAAAAAACACCAAAACGAGTTGGAACACAGCGAAGATGAAAAAGGAAGAAACGCCTTGCAACTGGCTTGTTCTTGGGGTCAGAGATATCCGATTTTAGAAGTAGAAAACAATTTCGGAACTTACGTTTTGGATAATACAAACGATGATACTCTTTGCGGTGAAACCCCTGAATATAACGAAATCTTGCAGTATCTTTTGGAACATTGTAATGTGACAGAGACTTGTAAGCTGTTTAACTTATCGTGTCTAAAATATGCAGAAGAGAGTGATTGTCTTATGACTAAATTGAAGATTCTTCTGAAACAAAACAACAAGTTTTCAAAATTGAAAAATGACAAAGAAGGGATCAGCATTCTGTACTATTGTACCAAGTTTGGCTACGACGAAGTTATCGACTTGTTTGAAGATTTACCTTTTATCAAAACAAAAGTCAATGAATTCACGTTATTACACATAGCAGTTGAATGGGATCAAGAAAAATATATAAGACGTCTCCTCCAGGTTCCAGTATATAAAAATACCATCGATGAGGAAGATAAATATGGAAGAACACCACTATATTTGGCTTGTCAGTTAGGTCTTTACAACATTGTTAAATTGTTGATCGAAAACGGAGCTAACGTTAATTACTCAACACCTCTCCATGTTTCTTGTCTTCACGCTTGTGATAACATCGTCAAATTGCTTCTTCAAGCTGGATCAAATATAAATGCCACTGACAGCTACAACATAACTCCTCTCCACATAGCTTGTTGGAACGGTCACCACACCACTGTCAAAATCCTAATTGAGAAAAATGTTGAAATAGATGTTAAAACATCCGGTGGCTGCACTTCCCTGTATGTGGCTGCAAGAAACAAGCATGACAAAGTTGTGAAATTGTTGATAAAAGCAGGCGCCGATGTTAATCTAGCACAAAGTGAAAATGTTACACCTCTTTTGATAGCATCACAAGAAGGACACGAAAAAAATGTCGAGTTGTTGATCAAAGCTCAAGCTGATGTGAATTTGGTGACTAATACTGGAGAATCACCCCTTTATGTCGCTTGCCAAAATGGTTACGAGATGATCGTTCAAATGCTTTTGAAAGCTGGAGCAAATACTGAGGTGTTTGCAGACAATGGCTGGAGTCCTGTTTTTATAGCGTGCCAGCAAGGACATGTTGGAATTGTTCGACTACTTTTCAGAACTGGGTCAAATTTCAGTATTAATGATCAAACTGGACAGACTCCTTCAATGGTGGCTTTTAAAAATGGGCACCACGAAATTGTAGAATTATTGGAAAAAAATCATTAATAAAATTATAGTTTTAACGGTACGTTTGCAGATTTTTCCGAGAAGAATTTTTAGTTGTAGCAGCAGTTTATGTCATTTACCATTTTAGAGGAAGTTTGTAGCGAATTTTTTTACTCGTGACTATTATAATTACTATGAATAACCAAGTGTTTTTTTTTCTTTTTTGCTATTTTTTTTACTCGTTATATACTACTTTTAGTGGTTAGCTCTCACCATAAGTATTTTAATTTATCTCAGACCTAATTTGCTCATAGCATTGTGTGTATTTTGTGTTTATTTGTACTTAGTATTTTTTTACTTGTGTTAGAATGCTTCTTTATACTGTCTTTTATTTTTAAATATTCTTTTGAAATTAGAGTAAATTAAATTATCAGTTAGGTACTAACAAATGAGCATAATTTTATTTTTTAAAGTTTTCAATATTAGAATTATAGAAATGCAAAAATTTGATAAATTAAATAAAAAAATTAAAATTAACAAAAAGAAGACAGGATAGAAACGCCATGACACTTCGGCAACCAACTTGGCAAGTGGCAAAATTAATGTAATTTTGCCATTTATTTTTGTATTTATTTATTGAATGATATTTTAAGCTTAACTTATTAATTAAATATATAAATATAAATAAAACTGGACTTTCTGTTAGAAAATAATATTGACACTTCTCTGTTTTGACGGCACCGGTTTCCGAAAGCGCTGTCAACGCGGCAAAAAGTTGAGGTTAGAATTAGTAACAAATTTAGATTTGTATAAGATTTGTTTATAATAAATTATGGCTTTAGACGACTTTGTAGGTCCCCATTACTTGAATTTAAACTTCAGTGACGTGAGTATAAATCATTAATTTCAAAACTTGCTACATTAAGTAAGTTCTAGGATTTTTTAAATGAAAATGCACCAACTTATTCAATTCAATTGCCCTATCCTATTCACAAGCCTTTAAAAGAAGTAAATAGTGACATAATTGATGAATTCCATCAAAATGTGAATCTTTACTCTCACAAATTATCGACTTTACAAAAAGATTTTCGTTATGCAAGGAATAAAGTAATGAATCAGACGTTCACAGACTCACATGCTACAATTACAAGAGGATTGTTAGACTTTTGTAATACTGAAAAGCCCGGAATTCAGTTCCCCTGTGATTATAACCCTTATTACACCTCTGGGTTTCTTGAATATGTTAATTTGGACAATGTGGAATATTTAATGCGTCCAGATTGTGACAATAACATACGTAATTAAAAATAACAATTTGAAAATAGTTTTGTAAGATTACATTTCTAGGTTTAACGAAATTGACGAAGCCTTGGAAAAATAGAAAAATTAATGTGGAAATTCCATTTGAAGATAACATTACTGGAATTTCAACAAGTAATGATTCAAACAATATTTTTTTATTGAGACACAAAAGTCAAATAAACTTGCTCAAAGTTACTGATCTTGATGGAGAAATAAAACAAACGAGAAAATTCAAAAAATTTCTCCTGGATTCACAAATATGTAAAACACATTTTGGTGTCGTTCGTTCTGACACAAAATTCAGATTATATGACATTGAAACTAACAAAAAAATTAATGTAGACGATAATATTGCTGATTCAGTAATTCGTTGTGGATTTGCGAATGAGACGATTATTCTTTTGGACCAGAAAAAACTTAAACTTTTTGATAAACGTTCAAATGACTTTGAAACCTTTGAACCACAATTTCAAGCTTGTAATTTTTTTTGTTCTGCTAAAGTTCACAGGGACGCACTTTATGTGGGTTCGAGACATTACTTAATACGAGCTGATCTCAGGTTTTTAAAAGAATTTGAGTTTTGTACACACTTGATGAAATACGGGCCTTGTTACATGGATTTAGTTGAAGGCTTGTTGTGTCTTTCAAGTCAAAAAGTTGAGGAAAAAGTTATGTTTAGTGGAAATCCAATTAGTAGTTTACCTTTTAAAATTCCGAGTATCACTGAAACTTTTAATGAGTGCAGATTGAAAAGGGATATATTATTGGTGCATGGAGTTAAAGAACGAGTTACGAAATCGGTTGGAGGTGTTAAAATAATTCACGAAGATAATGGTAAAAATTACTTACATGTTTTTCGTACGATTTAATACATATTTTCAGATTATTTCCTCTACAGTGTTAACACTTTAGGGGATATTTTTAAACAGAAAATTACAAACAACTCAGATTGTGATAAAACAAAACCAGTGGAGTCTTTCCACTATTGGGTGAACAAATTACCAGAAAGACCCAAACCGTTACATTTAACAAGTGTTGAGAATGCGAGTTTAGCAAGGTTTGTTTTAAACAAGGATATTGGACAAGAGAGAATGAAAAAATACGGACGAGCGACGAAAAAAACGAGTCGTTTTCTCAACCACTTCAATACTGTGTACAATAAAAAGAATTTGAGTGAGTTGGCGCAAAATTTTTTATCGGTTTGGGACGACGAAGACGAGGAGGAACGACCTGAAGTCGTTAGTGAAGTTCCCGAAGTGGCCCCCATCGATAAAGTGGCCAATTGGATCGAATCCAATTATTTCTTTTAAATTTCCCGCCGCTAATAAAATAAGGTTATGTCGATTTGTCAAGTGTCAACCTCGTGTTGGAAATTCAAAATTATTTCATAATGCCGAAAAAGAAGACTGGACAGAGAAAAAAAGCCGAAAAACAGAAACTACGACAAAAGGAAATACGAACGGCGAAGGACAATGTTACTTTAGCCCAACATCCGTCCAATGCAGCTATGGAATGTGAAAAATGCCATAGGTGAGTAGTCCGAGGTTGTCTCGGTCGATTTGGGGATCATTTGGGGGTTTTACAGGAAGCAAAAGAGTAGGGCGTTTTGCTACTTCTGTCAAAGTATACAAAGACTGCCGGTTTGTGCCCAATGCGGAAAAATTAAATGTATGCTGAAGACGGGGGATTGCGTTGTTAAACACCCAGGGGTTTACACTACAGGGACAGGAATGGTGGTAAGTGGATGAGATTGTTTTTTTAAACTGGACTGTAAAATCCACATTTGAATGAGAACCATTTTTCTGAGCCAATAATGAATTTTTTTGTACAGGGCGCGATCTGCGACTTCTGCGAAGCATGGATCTGCCACGGCCGCAAGTGTCTCCAGACTCACGCATGCACGTGCCCCCTGCAAGACGCCGTCTGTATCGAGTGCGAACGCGGAGTGTGGGACCACGGGGGTCGCCTTTTCAAATGTTCATTCTGCGACAATTTCTTATGCGAAGACGACCAATTTGAACACCAAGCGTCGTGTCAAGTGCTCGAATCGGAAAATTATAAATGCCAATCGTGCAATAAACTGGGACAATACTCGTGTCTTCGGTGCAAAACTTGCTACTGTGAAGATCACGTGAGGAGGAAAGGTTTCAAGTATGAGAAGAATAAAGCGATTCCTTGTCCCAAGTGTGGATATGACACGTCGCAAACAAAGGATCTTAGTATGTCGAGTGAGTTGTTTAAAATTTGTTAGTTTCTCTGTGATGATGATTTTTAATTCGTAGCAAGGAGTCATAAGTTTGGACGGCAGGGACAAGCGAGTTATTACGACGAAGAAGATGATGTTCAAGAGTCGTCAGGGTATGGAGATTACGTCTATAATGAGTCTGAGGAGGACGAAGATGATGATGATGATGATGATGATGACGATGATGATGAAGAATCCGAAGAAGGTACAAGTGAAGAGGAGTCGGGAAACGAGGAAAAATGAACTCTTTTCGTACGTTAGTAATTCAATACCACATATTGTAATGGCCTTTAAGCCCAAATCTATAACATGTTTTTATGATTCGATTTTTTTATTGGCTTTTTCGTTACTTACCTTAAAGCCAAACGATTTTAAACTGAAATTAATGGTGAATTGATGAAGTATTTTCGTTAATAACAATCCGGGGTAAGGCACTTGTTCTTTGCCCAATTTTCCTTTTTTTGTTAGCAAATAAATAATTCTTAAACGACTTTTTTGCTATTTCACTTATACTTAGTTACCAAACTAATTTGCATAAAAAAAAAAACAAATTAACACTGAGAATTCGAGACTCAACTCAAACTAAGCCTTAAACTTTCGTCTCCTTTAATCGATAGTTTTCGAGTTAGGAATTTTTAAAATGTAAAATCACAGGTAAAATTAACAATTATTACAGCGATTTGTCAAATGTAGTTGTCAATAATATGCCAAATTAACAATTTGAAGATGGTTAAAGCCTCAGCTAAAGCGTCTACAAAGACGTCCACTAAAACAAAAAAGGTCAGAATTCTTCTTTATTAAAACAACATAAAAATAAGTCCAACAGCAAAAAAGTACGGCTAGTCTTCCGGAAGGACAGCACGGATCGCTGAAATCAAAAATAAGCGTTTTGACCGAAGAAGACTTAACGAATTCGGCTGAAATTACAATTGATATACAAAGTTACCAAAATATTGTAGGCATTTTTTATGAAAAGTGTTACAATTTCATACTATTTTTTTAGCCACCGAGTTATCCTTCTTCTTATTTATTGACCAAATGTCAATATATGGGAAAATGTATTGGGGAAAGTACAAAATTGTTACTGACTGATGATTCGATACTAATGAGTGATCACAAATTTATAATTCGCTGTAACATTGATTCCCCCAATGGTTTAGATAAATTAGTTACCAACCCGGTGATCCGTAATAACCTAAAATTGTCCTCGCATTTCTTATCCTTACATTTTTAGTCCAAGTTTTTCAATTACCGAACACGAATTCGCGTTTATTAGAGAGCGAACACAAATTGGACATTGAAAAAGTCATTTTAGACGAAAGTTTATCATCAATTGAAAGTGCAATCAGTTTATATGAAGCACTGACGGGAGATGTGGTAGAAAAAGTTGACATTATTGCTTCACCGAGTCGCAAAAAAAATAAAGGCAAGTCGAAGAAGAAAAGCAAAGACAAATTAAGCAAGTCAAGTAAAGGAAGTAGGCAAAGTAAAGAGAAAGTTAAAAAGAAATCAAGTAAAGACAGTAAGAAATCTAAAAGTTCGTCGAAAGCATCATCGAGAAAAGAACATAGCAAAGAAAAACTTCCAAAAGCAAAAGACGACAGTCTTAAAAGCGAAACGGAAACAGGAGCTTGCGTTATAGATTTACTGCCTCTCATTTATGGTAATGCTAATACTATACAGGACGTCCCGTTTTTATTGTTACTGATCAAACAGCTATCAACTATTCACGTGTTTAAATTTGTAACAATAAAAACGGAACACCTGTATAGTCATAACATAACTGTCTCTTAAGGTAACTCCACTTTTACGGAATTTTTGCCGCTAATCGTCCCTCACACGTTTTGTGATGACCGGATGGCCAGGTATTCACACAAACCCGGAATCTCTGTAATGGTTTCAATCGATAAACCTGTAGAATTTTCTTGCACACCCGTTTTAGCAAATATAACATTAGAATCGATTTACAACATTCCCACACTCATGAATAACGAAATGGAATATCAAGTTTGTGTTGTGATGCCTTCTGTAAACCTGGTATGCCACCTGTTACGAGTTTTTTGGCCAAACCTCTAGACTCATTCTAGAAGTTTGACGAAAAAAACTTGAAGCACTCTATATATTATTCAGTTGTAACTCTTAAAGCCTCAGAAACCAGTGTTATTTAAAAATGGAACTTATACAGAAGTGGCACTACAAAAGGAGTACAAACAGTGGTCGGAAATTCCAAAAGATAATTATTTTAATAAAACAGCATACAAGTATGTTTTAATTTATAAAATACTATTGCTTGATTTTTGTGAATTTTAAGAGTGGAAAGTGATAGCAGCAGTGTTAAAAACTATGTCGACAATGTTAAGAATATAGAGGAAGCAACCAATGAGAAGAAACCAATGATAGAGTTCAACTGTATCAAAAGAAATATTTTCTTAAAAGAAGGTTTTTTCTTGTTGTATGATCACATTCGAAAGCATCGTAGAATTGTAATTGAGTTTTATGTCTTTAAAAAACAAACTGTAAGTTTTAATAATTCTTTGAAAACGCACTATTTTTTGAATATCAGGAAACCAAAAAAGAGACAAAACCGAAAGTCAAAAATAAGACGGGAACTTCTTCGTCAACAATTGACGAAGTTAAAAAAGAAAAACCAACAAGTTATCTTCACTTAATGGCCGTTGTTGATCTTTCGTCGCTTATTTTTCCTGGAGGTAGCATAAAGTGACTCAGTGTAATATATGTTGCCAATAACTATACCCAATGTACTGTAATTTATTAATTAAAAACTATAGTTATTGACAACTTAACCCACTCAATCAAATATTAAATATTTTCTTTTAAACGTCTATAGTTACCAAGCTCCGTTTAGCAACACCCTTGACCACATTTCATCACAAAGAAGCCCTCCTTTATGGTGGTTTAAAAGACTCATATTTTTTTCCTTCTCCAAAACTTGAACCAGCAGTATTACATAAAAACGAATCTAAATTGAAAGCTCCCAAAAAAGATAAAAAGTCAAAGAGCGACAAATCTAGCGCTAAATCTAAAGGAAGTAAGAAAACAAAAGAAAGTAAAAAATCTAAAGGGAGTAAAAAATCAAAAGAGAAAAAGGACAAGAAACATCCGAAAGAAGAATTAAATTTAAACGATGTAATTTTTACTATGTTAACATTTCTCGAGTCAAATTGTTACTTTAGGTGTTACCATCGGAACCCCCTCATGAAGCACCCCCCGAACCTAGTAAAAAGGTGTACAATGAGAAGGGCCAACCAACTTTTATTGTATTAGAAATTGAATTGACACAACCCCTAGTGGAAAAGACATCAGTTAGTGATTTACACGGCAGGTATACTTAATGCAAGAAAAATGTCAAGATTCATTTTATTATTATTTGTTGTCCTCAGCTTGAAGGAGTTAGTGCATGTAAAACCAGAAGTCTCAAAAATAATGCTTAACAATCAACTGGACAAAACATTATACAAAAAAATAGTAAAAGAAGTCATATTGAAAATAAATGAAACGTATTCTACCTACATCGAAAAGAAAAATCAGTGTCATTGTAAGCCAACAAAAATCACTTTCAGTTATAATTTTTAATGGAGTTTAGGTTCAAACCAAGCGGACTTTTTGACTTACATAAAACGTTCCGGGTTGTATCAAAACTTGATTTTTACTATAGGACATGTCGCTTGTTTGATTGCCCAATTTAAACTAAACAAAATCGAAAAAGTGCAGTCAATTCATGAGTATCATAATTTTTTAGAACAAATATTTATTTGGTTGATGAATGAAGTGAATCATGTTTTAAATGAAATGACGATTATAGGCAGACATGTTAAGGATTTTCCCGAGAGTTCGCTAAAGGATCTTTTGTTTTATGCTAAAGAAGCTGAAGAAATTCGCAATTCGGCTTTGGCGGAACATTATTACTTAAAGGTACGATGAATAAATGTTAATTTAATTTAGAAAAATTATTTAAAAAAACAACTTTGTTCAGAGACTGCAGTACAGTCCAAAAAATCCTGATCCATGGTTTGAATTTGCTATTTATAAAGTCGCGAAAGGGCATTACGAAAGTGCTCTGATGTGTTTACAAGAGGCTTTAAGTAGGAAACTGTATCATCGAAACAGGTGGGTATGCTTAAAAATTAATGTGGTGGCAAATTACAGAATCACCACAAACAATAAGTGTGATAAAAATTGCTTTTTTCTTTAAAAACATGAAAGGATAATTTAACACACCTTTCAGTTTGTTATTAACTGGTGTGCTCCTAGCAGAAACCAAACGTTTCAAAGAAGCCGAAATGTGTTTATTGACTTTAATGGTTCAAGAATCCCGATGGACTGAAGGTTGTGATGCTGTATATTTTTCTGTTTCACAAAGTTTTTAACACAGGCTGGGCTGTCCTCTATTTATTCTACAAAGAAATCGATAATTCGGGGGGAATGGATTTATCAAAAGAAATGGTGTTAAAGTATATGGAGGATCCTCGATCTCCGATTGACGATTTTATGAAAAACGGGGACTTAGTTTGGACATCGGAAATATGTCCTAATACTTTATATTTTAAAGCGAGCGTTATTCTTTTGAAAATGAGAGTATATTCAGTATGAGAAATTTTCTCTAATTGAACTAAAAATCATAATTTGTTGTAATAAATGTAGTGGGTGGAGAATGCATTAGCGTGTGAGCTGAAAGAGCCTGGTGTTGTTCATTATCTATTGGCTGTAATTTGTTATTACAAGAGAAATTATCAACACGCACTTGAACATTTAGAACGAGCACGTTTTTTTCATGGTTCTGTAAGTAGACACACTGCATTATTTATTTCAAAATCAAGAACATAAACTCGTCAAATAGAATTTTATATCATATATTTTAGGACTGTGCTGTTTTAAGTTTGACAGGGCATTGCTACTTTGCCATCGGCAAACAACAAGAAGCATACGAGGAGTATTCACACATTTTAGAATCGTTTCAAAGACCCGATGATATTCATCTAGTTTATTTAAACTGTGCTAAGGTTGCCCCCAATGCCCAGGAAGCAAAAAAATTATTACTCACAGCTTGTAAACATAGACCCACACCATACACATGGATGGCTTGTGGAATTGCATATTTGAAAGCATGTCTTTTATAAAAAACACTATTTCTTACAGTAACATGAATTTCAGTTGAAAGATTTTATGAGTGCCGAGGAGTGCTTTTCAGAATCAGTTTTCTTAGACAATTCTAGAGCTGATGCTTGGGGGTATTTAACATTAGCTAATTTGAAAATGCGAAGGCTCAATGAGGCTGAAACTTGTTACGCATTAGCGCTAAAGGTATAAAAAACGCAGAGAGAGTTCAACAAGTTTTATCTATCACACTTTTTTAGAATGATTTAAAAGATCAATATTTGCTAGACGAAATCAAAAATGGGTTTGAACAACTAAAATCAAAATAAGTTGTCTTTATTAATTTGTTTTGCATCAAATACATGTACAAATTCTAAGTATAAATAAAACACAAAACATTATTTAATTAATTATTGTTATATTCACAACCACTGTAGAGTAAAACGGTTTTAAATGGTGGATCATAATAGTTATTTACATTCGTGTGCGGTAACTTACATTTTACAGTGCGAAATGAATTTGAAGCACGACGCGCAGCGGAGTGCTTTAATAATTGAGCACTGTAAAATGGTTAACGCACAAGATTTGTATTAAGCTTTTTGGCCGACGTTTAAACAAAAATCTACAAAATTCAGAATTAATACAAGTAAATACGTTTGACATTAAATATCACGGTGGCTATGCACTCTAATGTCAAACAATTAAAAAAGACGCAAAAACGTCTCAGACACAAAGTTTTGTTATTGTTGTCTTGTTGGTGAATTTATGCTTCAAAATGTCGAGCGATAATAGCCCCATGTGTACCCCACCAGAAATCAGAAGTGCTGCAGGAAATGTTACAACCGAGCTATTGCCCGAAAAATCGCGAGCAAGGTATGAAGCCCAGTACAATGTGTTTATAATTATAAAGTGGTGTGAAGAAAAAAGAGTTCTAAGATTGAAAGGTTGTGTGTAGAGCGTTTTATTAAAAATGTTATCATCTTACAAACAGTTTTTTTTTATAAAAGTCTATGAAGATAATTTTGGCAGTGCGGTAAAACTGTCACTTTACACTCGTCTGTGCGTAAAATGCTCAGGCGACTGTAAATACAGTCTTTCAATAGGTGTCAATTGTACGTTAATTTGACATTTACATGTCAGGAGGCCAAAAAGATTATTTGCTTCATTTTCATTACAATAAATAATATAAATAAACAAAATTAGAATCCACAATTAATAGAAACAAGAGAAAAACTAAATGTAACAAACAAGTTCATTTAAAATAAAATGTAAAATGCTTAACAAATTATAAATGCCATTTGTTTAAAGTGTGCGATATACGTTTTCAATAACTCTACCTTTTACTCGTGTCTCACTTTATACAATTGGAAATTGTATACGTTTTTATTATTCCTCATTAATTTTCATATTTTTCATCATCTCTAGGTTTTCATCTTCATGTGCTTCTGCTTCCTTTTCACATGGCGGTACATTATCAATCGGTTCATCCCAGTTTTCATCAGTTTTGTTAGGTATTGTAACATTGACATCAGTAGGGATACTAGAACCTGAAACCTCATTTGTTTTCCTACTTCTCACTTGTCTCTGAGAGCCGCGACCTCTCCCTCGGCCCCTGCCTCTGTAACCATATCTTTGATCCGGCACATGTTTTATAGTCGGCAAAACAGTGTTTTCATCCAATTGATACGAATGTTCTCCCGTCAAAGTAGAAAACTCAACTTTAATGTTTAGAGGATTCTCAATGTCTTTGTTTTGTTTTGACTGATTGGTAGGAGGTCTCCTGTAATCTTCTTTGTTTTTATTCAAGTTCTAAATTATTGTATTAATCATTAGTGCTTGTTTAACGAAAGGTGATAATTTATTTACTTTCTTATTATAAGGCGAACTTGTGATACCCTTGTTAGGCGGTTCTTTGGTACTTTGAGGATGACTTCCTTTTGAAACTCGTGAGGAATCACCAAGAAAATCGTCTTCCTTGTTTGAACAAAATGTGTTACTCTTGAATTTGCTAATTTATTACTGACTTACTCCTTTTTCACCACGTTTACGGTCAATGATTTCTCTCAAATCTGTTACTCCTAAATGTGGATAGAAGCGGTTTTGGCCAGAGCGGGTCTGGTTTGGACGAGGAGTTCTTTTATGAGGATATTCAGCCATAATATAATTCGATAAACATTAAAATCTAAAAATAAGTTTCCAATTAAAATTTTACATGTAGGTAGGTGCCTCCAAAATACATATTATCACAGCATTGAAAGTATACTTATCGAATCATAATCACACTCATATTTTACGTGACACATAACATTATAGTTACTCATCAGTCACCTGATCAAATATTTTTATGGAACGTCTCGGGAGAAGGGAGAAGTCCAGGTGAAGGGGGCGTATGCCCACTGTCCACAAAGATAGATACAAGCAAAAATTGGAAAACATTTATTTTATTTAAAATCAGTCAGATTGAATTGAAGTAATGAAAATATGATTAGGAAACAAGGGCATGTGCAGTTGATATTTGACAGAAAAATCTAACCTAGAAAGTACTAACCTAAAGATGGCACAGTTTTTTGATTCTTTGAATTCATTGCTTTTTTGTACTTAAAATACATATGGAAAAAAGTAACTATTTTATTATTGAATTTCCTTCATTCCTAGATAATTATTAATTATTCGTTATTTTTTTCAAAACCTGGAAATTAAGTAAAATCCGAGACAGCAATAGCATTTTCTAAAGGTACTTTCAACAAATTACCCATTTTTGTTGTTTCTTCTCCATCTTCCACTTTCTATCACCTACTTTATCTCCACTTGCTCAGTGACTGTACAACATGAACCTAGTTTTCAACGTTAACCTCTGTAAATTATTTTTTGTGATCATAACATCGTCTTTAGTGATATTGGGTGTTTTGATAAATTTTTTTGAGCCATACTTGCCGGCTTTTATCAAAAAAACCTTCAGATATGGGAAATTTGCTTCTGACGAAAAATTACTCTTGGTACAAAGTGTGGAAGTTCCAAAATCATACTTCAAGCATTTCTATATTGCTGCCACGTTTGTTTTTTGTCCAATTTTTCTAAAGGAAGTTTTTGTTGTTTATGTGTTTAATCGAGAAGTTGATGATTGGTTTGAGACTTTGTTGAATTTTTCTTGTGGAAATGGAAGACTAGCAACAGGTAAAATGTTAATGTACCCAAAATCCACTCAAGATGCATTTTCCCCTTTTAAAAAAGTAATATTTTTAAATGTGACAGAACAAAAATGACATACAGGTTCACAAACATTATAAAAATATAACGGGGAAAATTCAACTTCAGTAGATTAAAAAAACATTTTTTTTCAGTTCCAGTCCATCGTGTCCTAATAGCTTCCATACTACTGAGCTTACAAATATTTCGTCGATTTTATGACACACACTTTGTATCCGTTTTTAGCGAAAATGCGATGATTAATTTAAGCCATTATATTATCGGAATGGTTTTTTACCCAGCTGTGATGTTGATTATGCTAAGTGAAGCTCCTAAATTTGCCCAAAACGGTAAAATAACGATATTCATGCAACACATTTCTTATAATTCTTAATTAATAGGTACTAACAGTGTACTCCATTTAAGCGAGATTGGAATTATTGACCTGTTTGCAATTATGTTTTTTTTGTGGGCTTGGTACCATCAGCATGTTGCCACAGTGATATTAGCGAACCTGAGAAAAAACAAAAAAGGTGACGATTAAAAAAATATATTTTTAATGATTACTGTGGATTATAGGGGATGTTGTTGATCAGGGTTACAAACTTCCTGAGGGTGACTGGTTTAATTACCTGTCTTCCCCTCATTCGACAGCAGAAATAATAATGTATACAGCCTTGACGTTGTTATTGGCTAAAAATTCGAGTTGGTTGTATGTTTATGCCTGGATTTTAAGCAATCAAGTAATTAATTTATCGTTTTTTACAATTAAAATTAATTTTTATTTACAGATCGAAACAATTCTTTTAAGTCACTGGTGGTATTTGGACCGTTTTAAAAATTTTCCCCCGAAAAGGAAGGCTCTCATTCCATTTATTTATTAATCTGTCATTCACAATGTAGTTTGTTGCAAATTAAACATTTTTTATTTATACAGTTGTGTTGTTGTATATATTATTATTGATATTTTATTAATTATTTTGATTTACATATCAAAAGCAATTACAGCAAACAAAGTGGCTTTGTAAAAAATGTTTGAAAACATTTGCAGAGCTTGTATAAACACTACCTGCTTCATTTCCATCTTCTTTAGTTGATGGAAAAATAAGAAATCCATTTTTTCACAGTGATGTGTGAAAATTTTAAATTAAATTAATGTAATAATAGCGGGAAAACAAATGATCAAACAACCAATCGTTTAACTTCGCAAAATGGCCGTCCAACGACACCTAATTGGTTAGATTAAATTCGTTGCCATAGATACATTTTTTCGTCCAATCACCTATCGCTGACACAATGAGACAATTTTTTGATTTTGATGACGTTTTAGCGATTGCAGGTTAGGTTAAAAGTCACCTTCACGTAATAATTTCTGTATAAATTGCTAAATAACAGCGAATTTTTCACACTCTATGTAATAAAAATTTGCCGACTCAAAAAACCGCACAGTGAACCTAATTACAAAGCAAACTTGTCAAACATGTCTGTGATTTTTCTTTCAAAACAAACCAAAGAGGAGTTCAAGAAGTTTTTCAGCTCTTTCGATACTGTCCTCTTTGACTGTGATGGAGTTTTATGGCTAGACAACGAACCCATTTCTGGTTCTGTCCCAGTTGTAAACAGGCTTCGCGAACTTGGTAAGAGAATATTCTTCGTTACAAATAACTCGACAAAAATGCGAAATGAATTTGCTGTTAAGGCGAAACGAATGCATTTTAATATTGAAACGGTAATCCCAAATTCCGCTTTAAGGTTTATCACTAAAATGAAATTTTAGGACGAAATCATATCAACGGCATACTTGGCAGCGGCCTATTTGAAGAACATGGGTTTTAAACAGTCAGTTTACGTAGTAGGCTCGAGGGGAATCACCCAAGAGTTGGATGCTGTTGGTATCAAGCATTACGGAGTTGGGGTAATTACCAAAGTATTCGATTCTTTCCTCTAAAAATCTGTTTTTCCAGCCAGATGTTTTGCAAAACGCTCTCGTTCATGTTATCGAAAATTTCCAAATGGAAAGTGACGTAGGTGCTGTGATTGTCGGCTATGACGAGCACTTCTCATACGTAAAAATGATGAAAGCGGCCTCTTATCTAAACAACCCAAATTGCATTTTTATTGCCACTAATACCGATGAGCGATTTCCCATGAGTACCGATTTAGTCATCCCAGGAACCGGGGCTATTGTTGCAGCGGTGGAGACGTGTGCCCAGCGCAGTCCCATCGTTGTGGGCAAACCCAATCCATACATTGTGGACGATCTCATTAAAAAATACGGAATTGTGCCCAAAAGAACACTCATGATAGGCGATCGGTTGGTGCTATAATTTCCCAGAACAAAAAAATTGACTTAATTTTTCAGTGTTAACACCGATATTTTATTGGGGACACGATGCGGTTTCCAAACCTTGTTGGTACTATCGGGGGTTACAACGTTGAAAGAAGCAGTAGCTTTGAAAGGCTCACATAGGAAGGAAGACAAAGAAATGGTGGCTGATTTCTACTTAGAGAAGTTGGGAGATATACTGCCACTTTTAGATTAAAATTTTAAAGTAGACCAATTAGACCAATTCTTAACTTATTTATTGTTACTAGGTATCTTAACTACCTCCACGCATCAGTAGATAAGAAAATGTCTGTTAACTCAGATTTAAGGACAGTGTCAAAATGCCATATAAATAATACTTTATGTTGAACTGTTTTTTCTTGTTTTTGCTTATATCACGAACGGTATCAACGCCTTCCTTTCTTTTGGAAAGTTTTGGAAATTCTTTTTGTACCATTTATGAGTACTAATTATTGAGTCAAGCTAGAATATATTTTTGTTAAAAATTGTTAACTAGACACAAAAAACATACTTGGTTGGACAACACTAGTGTATAAACACACCACCAGCTATGTTTATAACCGAGAATGACCCATAAACATGTATACATCAAAATTTCAGTAGTGCAGTGTGGTGAGGATAAGTATTTGAATAAATCACCATTTGGTAGCTTATAATTTTCTGTAACCACCGTTCCTAAAAAATGGTAATAATTGAAAATAACTGAAAATTAAATTGAAAGAGACCTTTTGAATTTCTTCGGAGATTGGCCAAAATCACTGTGGTCGTGTGTTGCCGATACCAGGCCCACAAAAATACCAAAACTGCAACTACATCAGTTATAGTTACATTAGACCAATCAAACTTATCCGGCTCTCCTTAAAATCGCAATTTAGTTTATCAAAATCAAAATAAAATAAGTGTTTCTTATTACGTGTAACAGCAAACTTAGGAGCCTCACTGACTATTATGACCATTGCACCCAAATAATAAAAAATTCCTATGATAAACTGGAAACAGAACATTGAGGCTTTTTTACTAAAGACTGACACAAAATGTGTGTCATAAAATCGCCTCCATATCTGCAAAGTCAATAACAAAACTGCAATAACGGTGTGACTTGTAGAAACTAAAAAAAAATTACTTTCGACAGACCAAATGGATGGTTCTTACCCGTAGCAACTCGTTTTGACCCACAACAAACATCCAACAAAGTGGTAAACCACTGAGAAGCATCTTGGTCCAAAGCATAAACCAGGATAATTTGGTTGATTACAACAGGGGCATACACCCAAGCGGCCACTAAATAAATGTATTTAAAATATGATTTAGGAACTTCCAAATAGCTCCATGAAACTGATGAAACTCTTTTCGAGCCGTTAACAAGTTTGCCGTACCTAATCAACTTTAATACAAAATGTGGAATGTGAAGATGCGAGTCAAGTAAATGAACAAAAAGTGAAATTAACAAGTACACCAGCGACATTGCAATAAATAACGTTTTGCACCTGTTTTCAAACATATTGTTACTTAATTATTAAATTGAAATATTAAACTATTAGTTTCCACTCATTTTAGGTATTGGAAAGTTTTCGAACACTTACAAATAACTTTAAATATATCTATTATCTAAAAACAAATAAAAAATATGTTTTACAATAATAAAACCAAATTTGATGCACGTCACATTTCCCCCACTCTCCTGGCATAAAGAGTAGAGCTGTATCTTCCTCTTATTCTATGGCTGTATCATTTAATTTATTTATGTTGTATGGAGCAGGGGTCCCTATTCGTTTCTTTTTGTGTTTTTGTTGTAAAAAATCTTTAATTGGACATTAACTTAGATGTATGATAATCTCTCACGGTGCGAAAATCGTAATATTTTGTCTACAGTGTATTTTTCAGTTGTTGTTTGTGTTAGATTTTTATACACTCCCCACAAAAATTATCGTACCACCCTCAGTTGTGATAAACCAAGCTTTGTACGGCTATGATACTTATTGTTATGTAAGATGGGGTGTAACATAATACGAAAGAATAAATAAATAATTAAAAAACTGTGTGTTAAAGTATTCTTCAACGGATTTTTAATAATGTAAAAAATTGATTGTGGACTATAACTAAATTAAATAACGGCCTGAACAACGGCTTCCATCCTATGCGGCATGTTATGCCATTCTTCCACAACTGCTTCCAACTGTTGGACAGTTCTAAAACCATTCTGCGTCCCAACACACGCTGTTGAAGGGTGTCCCATACTTGCTCGATTGGATTTAAATCAAGACTACGAGCTGGCCACCTCATAACAGGTGTCTCAGTTTCTCTGAGGTATTCTTGCACTATCCGGGCTATGTGCGGTCGAGCATTATCGTGCATATACACAAAATCTGGACCAATAAATGAGCCATGCGGGATAACATGAGGGTCTAGAATGTCTGTAATGTAACGTACAGCCGTCATAGGAGCTCCACGCATAGACACTAATTCTGTACAACCTTCCAGAGAGATAGCATCCCAAACCATTAACGAACCTCCACCGAACTGTACATTAGAAACAATGTTACATTGAAGATATCGCTCCCCAGGTCTTCTATACACCGGTATTCGTCTGTCATTTGCATAAAGACAAAATTTGGAATCGTCAGAGAACATGATGTCACCCTTCGACGGCCTTGCCTTGGTCTTCTGTCAATACTCCCAATTTCTTGGTGTCTTTGGGCCAGCCTAACAATGGTGGAATGGTTAACACCGAGGACTTTTGTCACATAATGCTGGCTACGACCGTCTTGTAGTAAAGCAAGTGCCCGGATAGCTTCATCGTGAGTCAAATGATAGCTAACACGTTGAGGAACATTCGTCATGTCAAATTTATGTTGCACAGATGACTCATCTAATGAACAATGCGATTACAATTAACCGGGAAAAATTGGTATATGCAACTTTTTCATAGATTAGAGAAAAAGTCGTCAAAAAACTCTTATCGGTGGTGGTGCCCGCAGATAAATAAATAAAAACTATTTCTACATGATGTGGACTTAGTTTGTTGCCTTTAGGTATATTTGTTTTGGAAAAATACCGATGTTTCAGGGTGGTGCGATAATTTTTGTGGGGAGTGTATTTAATTTTTTAAAAATATGTATGTTAATTTCTAAATAAAACTAGAAAATTAACTAGGATTTTATTTTAGAATGACGTTTTGGACAATAAAGGGATTAAATGAAATTGTTTCAAATAATAATTAATCTTTTTGTAATTATCTTGACGCAATTAATTTTTCATTTAACAACTCTAATGCCAAGTCACACTGTTTCAATAAACAATCATCGGTCATTTCTTCAGTACAAGGCATCTGGTTTACATTTTTATTTTCTTTATTCTGTTGAAATTCTTCACCTAATAACACGGAAATCATTGATTTGGTTGGTTTTCCTTTATCACGTCTCGTTTGCCGAGTTTTTTTCACCTTCCATTTAAAATGTCTTTGAAGATGCATTTTCAAACATTGCTAAAATACACACTTAATAAAAATTCCAACATATTTAGACATATACCTTGGTTTTTAAAATAACTTGACAGTTGGGATAAGTACATTTAAAGCTAGTTTTTGTATTATTTTTCCTATGAAAAGTCTTAATATGATGTATTAAGTTTCTTTTGTGAAAGTAGAACCTTTTACAATCTCGAAATTTGCAAGGAAAGACAAGTTTTTCATTTTCTCTCATATGAACAGCCTTATGGTCATTAAAATTGCCTTTATGGGTAAACGTCTTATCACAGACGTCACACCTAAACCCTAAAAAATAAGTATTAGGTAGCTTAAAATAATTATTGTAACACTTTTTACGTTTCCTTTCACATGTTTTTTTGTGTGCTAAAAGTAAAGACCATCTATGAAATTCCTCTTTACAATCACAGGTGTACACACGATGTGATCTCTTATGTTTATTAAGATTTTGTCCTGTGGTAAATTTCATATTACATTGGTCACAACTGCAATAGGTTTTGAAAACATTAAAAAAAAACTAATAACAATTTACCTGAATGGAGCTTCACCAGTGTGAATATACGCATGTTGCTGCAGTTGCTTTTTCCTATGAAATCCTTGATCACACTCCCCGCATTTAAACGGATATTGTGAATTGTGTTTTCGAGTGCAGTGTTTTTTTAATGAGTACTTGTTGGCTAATACGAGGCCACAACCTGGGACTTCACAAATCACCGTCTGTGACTCCTTGGGACCATGGCTAACTTTTTTGTGCCTTCGCAAATGAGAGTTGTTCGTATAGGTTTTATTACAGCCCGGTTCTTCACAAACGAAGGGACGCTGTTGGATATCGACACTGTTTATGAGTTTTGATGTTTGAAATCACTTACCTCGCCGGTATGTTTATGAGTGTGGATAATTAACTTGCTATTCTTTAAAAAAGAGGCATTACACCCTGGCTGTGTACATTTAAATGATTTTTTTGTAGGAGTCGTGTGAGAATCTGAACTTTCCATTATACTTTCTTTATATCTACTGCCGACATTATTTGTAACCTCAAAACAGTCAACACGTCAATAGCACATGGGCAAAAGCGTGAGCGCTGATTTCTGATAAACGCTAATTCTCTTAAAAGCTAATTATTGTTAAAACATGTTTTAAATTATATGTACAAAGTGATGCACAATGAATAAATCTGTTGGCAATCCTGACTGTAATTTTTAAAGGTTGCTTTTGATTAACAACAATTTATCAATCTTAAGGGGTTGTAATTGTCAAGCAAAACCGTACGTACAGGTTGGTTGCTGTGTTTCAAATTAGAAATTATTAACAAAAATACTTTCAAATCTGTTAACAACAACTTTCTGTATCACTTCGTATTATAGTTATTTAATGATTATTGGACAAACCTTTAAAGTTTAAATTTTGGTATCAGTATTGTGTCTGCTTTGTTCGTTAGAGCATCTATTTAAAAACTTTCTTTTTGAAAGTTTCCAAAAAATATAAGTTTTAAATGGAATTTGGTACATATTACCATATAATAGCTTTTCTTGAGGCTACAGCGACTAAATCAATACAGACAAGATAATATGGAATGATTAATTAAATGATTATTTAGTTGAAGATAAATGACATTGAAGAAGGTAAAAAAAAAGTGTAGGCACCTATAAACATAAAATGTTGGAATGTTTGTTTTAATAAATTAAAATATAAATAAATATTAATATAATCAACTAAAATTAAGTGAAAAATTCAGTATGTACAGGGTGCTGCATTTTGGATGTCTGAATAGGGAATCTCCGAAACTAAGAGGTTTAGCCAAAAACGAGTAATACATTCTGGGGCTCATTTTTTGAGAAAATAATATTGGTTAAAACCGCATCCCGCTATAATCTTTTGTTTTCGACTTATAGACAAAAATTGACATTTTAGCGAAATCTAAAAAAAATCATATCTTCGTTATTATAGAAGACAGATTTGAAATAAAGACATTATACAGGCACTTTTTTACGTAGAATTTAATAATGTAGTTAACAATTTTTTTCAGTTTAGTTTAGTTTAATTGTTTAGCCGTAATAAAATAAACTTGTATTTTTTTAATGGGAATCATAGATGGCTATGTCATTTTTAAAAAGCTTGTTTTTTTCTTATCTAAAAAATATATATTTATAACAAATTATTATAATACATTTTTAGCAAAAAATTATCTTTGATTTTTGTTCGCAGTTGGCCATGAAAAAATGTTGCATCTTCAACTAAAAGGATTTAAACTATATTATATTCAACCAGTGTCACTGGTGAAAGAGTTTTCTAAGTACTAAGTAATGAAAAAAATGCAAAATAAATTGTAAATCAACTTATTGGCGACTAATAACATTTCTTTGTTTTTAAACAAGCTAACATTACCATTGCAACTTCTAGTGATACATAGAGTGTTGTAAAAAAAAGCCGCTTTAATTCTTCAATAAAATATATTTTATATGACACAAAAATGACGATATGGCTATTCAAATACCCAAATTCCGTCTATGTGGGAGGTAGGATAACGTTCATCAAAAAAAATGTTTTTTGGCCTCCTGACATGTAAATGTCAAATTAACGTACAATTGACACCTATTGAAAGACTGTATTTACAGTCGCCTGAGCATTTTACGCACAGACGAGTGTAAAGTGACAGTTTTACCGCACTGCCAAAATTATCTTCATAGACTTTTATAAAAAAAAACTGTTTGTAAGATGATAACATTTTTAATAAAACGCTCTACACACAACCTTTCAATCTTAGA